ATTAACGGGCGTTTTAATAATCACCGTTTAAAACAAAAGACAGATTTTTAATTCCTTATCTGGTGTTTCGCGAGAAGCGGGCAACGACTGGTCATAAATATATTCACGGATGAGGTTGAATCCAATCAAAAACATCACACGAAGGTAGTCATAACGACCCAAAACAAAAGCATGTAAACAAGCAGGAAAAGCGGATCGAGAGCATTAAAATCCTATTTGGCGCATTTCTGCATTCGGGCAAAAGTCAGGATTGCGACCGGCGGAGACATAATCACCTTACATCGCAAAAACCCCAGGACCTAGACCGAGCACAGAGCAGCAAGATGGGTTGTAACAACAGCAAAAGCGCAACAGCAACCAAAGGCCCATCAGAGGGCAACGAGCAACAGGAGCAAGCCCCCGCAACACAGACAGGTAGGGGATGCTCATTTTTTTTGTGAATTTTCATTTTAATTTTAAAATGTAAAATTTCAGTAGAAGTGAAAGTTTTGTATATTACAATAGAATAGAACAGACATGTAGATTAGCTAGCGATAATTGTTACAAGTTTCACAATAATTACGAAAATTCTCGAAGATGTGTATATGTAGAAGCTTAGTCATTTTAATGTATTAATTATCGGAAATCTTTTTAAAGCTCCGCCGTTATAAGGACATTGTGCCGTTGTTCTGAGATGTCAACTTTTAATAATAGGAAGGTCCCCCGTCTCGTTAAGGCATCTTAATCGCGTGTGGCGATAACATTCTACCCCAATTCGAGGAAGTAGATAATAAAATGAAACAGGACCAACACAGATCGAAACCTGTTATTTTTTGTTCGATCGCTATAATTACGCAGTTCCCTCATTAAAACATATATTTTAAATCAATGTTTTTTGCTACATGGTATTTATCGACCTAAATAAGTCAATGGGGGTATTCTTCACAAACAGATGCTTGTGGCAAATTTTAAGATTTTATTACAGTAATATTAAAAAAAAAAACAAGTATGAAATTTATGACTATCCTGTATACTGTTATAAGTAGAGTTAGCCGAATAAATACAAACGCAAGACTTACATGTTTATGTTATCTTGGAAAATTTTAATCGATTATCTTTTTAAGTCAGGGTTTTATAAACATCTTTTTTTATTAGTTAGTTTTTTAGTCAAAGAGTATAAGATACATGTTTATGCTCGAAGTTAAAAGCTATCGCAATTATTCAGTCTAGCATGTGATATATAGGAAGTCAACCAGAAAATCACGTTAGGAGATTTTTGAGAGCACATATCAATTATTTATCAGAATGATTTCACTTTTTGGAATAAGGTTGGATATTTTCGTAAAAGTGGATTTAACAACGGAGAATGGAAACGCAGGGTGCCTGTTAATTTGTCTGTTTGTCGTATTAATTAGAATTTTAATATGTAATTTTATTTCTTCAGTCCTACAATGACGGGTCTCATCCTGTTTTGTTTGAACTGCAAAATAAGTACATGTATACTAAGAAGCTAATTAGAGTCTTTGAATACGGCGAATTTACGATCACGAACGGAGTTGAACAAAGGAAAATTAATTAGCGAACAAATTGTATATCATGCCAACATTACTAGTAATATACATGACTGATAACTGGTTTTAAAGAAATTGGTACAAGGCCGTACTACACGAGAAAAAGAGGATCTCGAAGCCCCCACCCCCTTCCCCATTAATCGAACTTTTCATTTAATTCACAGAAAATGCCAAACATTTGGTTCAATTGTATGCCCTAAAATTTTAATTGCCCTTTTACATTAAAAAAAAAAAAGAGTGCATAGAACGAAATAATATCCCAAAAGTTTTGATTTTTTTTCTGGAATAATTCTCTGAAATAATTTCTCTCGCTTGCTCCCCCCCCCCCCTTGTTTTCATGAATGATCCTCAGAAACATTTCTTAAGTGCAAACAGGGACAGGCCTCGCCACAGATTTTTATCGGCCTTGAGACTGTACAATGTAACGAGGAGGGGGAAGGTTAAGTCTAATCCGTCTATACTAATAAAAATTAACCGCACTGCAAAAGGCTTGGCAGATTTGTAAAAATTATTTACAGTGAACTTAGCCTCTAAAGTTCAATTCAGACAATAACCCTAATCTTGCTAGCATGCGTGCACGCTGAGCTTAAAAACGCCACACAATCCTGTTCATGTGTTGATGGTGCAGCCTAAAGCTGATTACGATTCGTGAAGGTGCATTTAATTATTGTATAAGTTCTATTAAAGGACCTTTGTAACCAAAGTGAACTTTGACAGATAGTATTTAGAAATACAATTTCTGATTGTGTATTTGAAATATGCAAATAATAAACGACAATGCATGTTTACAAGATTATATACATTGTAGAGTTCACTTGTATGATAAGCAATATAATAGAATCATGTATTAAAAAGTTAATTTTAAATCGGTAGCCAGATAAAATTTATAGTGTTTTTTATATCCCAAAAGCACTTGTATATACCGGGGGGGGGGGGGGGGGGGGGGGGGGGGGTAGACATGTAATATATATATATCTTTTATTGTGACACAGAGAGGCTATACTTTACTTTACCCGGCATCTGTACTGTCCGTCTGTCACATCATATAATCTCAAACCTGATAGGGATTTGCACATAAAATATTGCTTGCCACTATGGCTTTTGTTAATTACCATGGTAACCAGCTTTTGGATCCTTGGCCATGACCTTTGACCTACTTTTCAAAATAAGCCATAGTGTCGATCAGTGAAAATTGCGGGGGGAAATTGGAAATTATGATTCAAAATTTAGATATATCATAGCGTAGTTCCATCGTTGGTGTCATTAATATTAAGTCCTCTTGGAAACTTGCAAGTACACATGTAATATGTTTGTCAAAAATCATGTCTATTATAGAATCTGCGCCAGCACAGAACACAGATCCCCCCGCCGCCGAGTCTGAACAGACGGAACAAGCAGCAGAATAGTGATAGGTGAGTAGTGTTCAGAAACTTACGGAATAATGAAAAATTTAATATATCTTTTTGAAAAAAATAGCACGAAACATATTAGAGTGCTTATCTTACATGTATATCATTCATAGGCAAAAGGCAAAATTTCGTTTAACAATTAAAGTAATGCTATTGTATCAATGCCTTGATTCTTAGTGACTTTAAAGGTTAATGGAGTTGCAAATTAGCTAAATTGATTTTTTTTCTCTTTTACTTTCTTTTCAGGGATATATTTAAAGCTAGGTCATTTTCAATTATGTATCACTGGATCAGTAAAATGGATTATATTGGCAAAACAGCTTTCTCTTAAAAACTCATTTCTTACTATTCAAAAAAGTTAATACAAGGAACTTTCAAACCAGTGAAAAAAGCACACACACACAAAAGAGCCCATTCAAGGGAGATAATCCGTCCTGGACTTTTTTTCTTTTATTTCTTTTTTTACCCTGTGATGTATCTGTCTTCACAACATAGTGTGGATGAATTTATTGGAAGTCTGACTTATTCCAATTTTACTGTGATGAATGAAAGGTGAGAAAGAATGAAAGAGCTACAAGCAGAAAATGGAATGTTGGTGCACTTTTTTGATATAAATGTATTACTGTGATCTATACCAGTATTATTATACTATGAAGTACACTGCTTTTGGGATATTACTATGAAGGAGTCTGTGTAATGTATAGACATGTTTGTGTTGTCACAATGAAATTCTGTCTTTATTTAAATTTGTTAAAATTGAATTAAATGATTGTCAGTGTAATAAAAAAGTGTTAATTTCATCAACTGGCTATTATATAGTTATCAGTTAATAAATTATTATATACACTTTCAATTCTTGATTTTTTTCCCCCTGTTTACATGAATTGCATATCAAAACTCTATAATTATATAATCTTTCCTGATTTGAATACTTTTGGAGATTTATGCACTGTATTTCAAGCCAACACCATAAAAAAAAATTCTGATGAAATAAGAGATCCATGGATGCCTGTTTAACATCGCATACCGTATAAGTGAACATTTTAGCAACACGCAAATAGTGATTAGTCAAAAAAATTGGTACATGTATTTTATTTTTAACTATAGATGTAATTTTAGCGATTTTAAAACCTCACTAAAGAAGCCATTGCAAATAAGGCGCAACTAATTTTAAGGGATATTCAATTTTAGCAATCTTGACAACCTTGCTAATAATGCCAAAATTAAATCCTTTCTAAAAATTCAGCTTACTTGTGCTATGAATAATGATTACAATATTATATTGTTTCTTGAATTCAAGATGAATCTTTTTTCAGTATGAACATTTTAGAATATTTTTTGAATTTTGGGGGAGAAATGTCTTGGGGAAAAGTAACATTTTCATTTTGGAAAAAAGGTAATCATCCTTCATGCTTTGAATGGCCCCAGTGATAGACAACTAAAAGCCTTGGGAATATCAAGTGTCACTCGACACACAAAATATATCAAGTGTATACATGTACACATATAGTTTCTGTTTGCTTCCTGAGAAATGGGTCTGATATTGCTTCTGAACACTATTAACATAAGACATTTCAAAATGATATAGATATCCAGGTGAATCTCAGAACAATGAACAATACACATATACATTTTAAGGATTTATCAGTTTTATGTTTAAACTGGGAGCTATTGTAAATACCATTGGAAGATAAACCTGTATGAACTGAACCACTTCAAATACAGAAGTCAAGAAGGGCACCTAGCTATCTATAAATCCTCCACAGAGGCACAAAGATGATTTCAGGACAGTTTATAGCCCTCAGAAAGTAATCTGCTCTCATCCCTATGTGTGTAATGGTATTGTACAGGTATAGCTTGATGGGGTCATTATACTTTGATAATTTCTGCCTAATACCTCTGTTTAAGTGATTGTGATTTCAATATTCCATTTAGTTATGAATTGCTAACTGCCAGAACCTATACCAATAAAATGACAGAATAACTTAATATACAGTGACATATATATTTCCAGATGATTTTATTTTATTATGAAAAATAAATTTTTTGTCTAAATCTTTATATAAAATGAAGATAGATATACAGCACTCAATACTGCTTTTAGAATAGAAATTAAAACTGCTGCAGAATTCAAACTTGAGTCAGTATAAAACACACACACAGATTTCTCAATAATCATAATGAGGTGATGAAAGAACTTTTAAAAACTAAAGTTTTGCACTTTCAAAAACTTCATTTTCGGCCTCTAGTCATTGGGTATCCACCAGTTTTCCAACAATGGCTATTGCTTCAATTTCTACTTTAGCACCCTGTAACAGAGAAGAACTATTATAAATGTACAAAATTAATCCACTGCAAGATAATATATAATCATTATATTAATGAAAATGCTAATCACTTAATACAATGCATTAACTTAATGGCTATCAATCAGAAAATGAAAATTTGATACTTGGTTAAATTACTATAATAACCATCATTCCTATCAATATGCATAACAGAGTTATTTCCCCTGAGGAACTCTTCTTTCCCATATCCAATAAGAGGAAGAGTCAGTGTACTCATTGATATGTAAATGTTGTTGCCTTCATGCTGAACTCTGTCATATATTCTATACAAGTGATTAATTATTGATAGTTTTGGCTATTCCAAGGCTTTACAGCTTCACGGTCTATCAAAAACTGTATTCTTAGCAACATATATCAACATGTATATACAGTAGCAAGAGAGTCTGTCATATTGAATGCAGTGTTTATTATTATAAAATATTGAGAAAAGTCCTTTAAAGGCATGTGCAATTACATATCAGATACAAACCAGAAGTCTTTTGTAGCTCTACTGGTTTTTTATCAAAAACCATTGCACTATTTTATGTTCTTTGTGTAGTCTACTTGTGTGCCAACTTAGTTTGAAATCACTAAAACTGTAGAATTTAGAGTTTGAAAGGAATTTCACAGAAAATTTTATTTTTAGTAACCATGGTAACACCTTTCATCAAAATCAAAAACCGATGCACTATTTATTGTATCTTAGTGTAGTCTACTTGTATGCCAAGTTATATTGAAATCAGACAAAACTGTATAAGGAGTAGCGTTTTAAAGGAATTTCACAGAAAATTCTATTTTTAGTAACCATGGCAACACCGTTCATCGAAATCAAAAACCGATGCACTATTCTATGTATCTTAGTGTAGTCTACTTGTGTGCCAAGTTATATTGAAATCAGACCAAAACTGTAGAAGGAGTAGCGTTTTTAAGGAATTTCACAGAAAATTCTATTTTTAGTAACCATGGCAACGCCATTCATCGAAATCAAAAACCGATACTATTCTATGTATCTTAGTGTAGTCTACTTGTGTGCCAAGTTATATTGAAATCAGACCAAAACTGTAGAAGGAGTAGCGTTTTTAAGGAATTTCACAGAAAATTCTATTTTTAGTAACCATGGCAACATATCGAAATCAAAAACCGATGTAGATTCTATGTATCTTAGTGTAGTCTACTTGAGTTATATTGAAATCAGACTAAAATTGTAGGAGGATTAGCGTTATAAAAATTGTTTACAGACAAAAGTCCTTAAAAGACATGTGCAATTACATACTATCGCATAAGCTCTTCTGGTCTCTGACAGTAAAAAAATATAATTCTTTTATTACAGTGAACAACATGCATTTGGGATGGAGGGGGGTATTTTAATACAGTTCCAAATGCAATTTATTGATTTCTTTGTAATATTCTAAAAAATCATGTACCGGGTATTTAATTCTATGCTTTTTATCTGCCCTAGCTTAACTCTGCAAGCATGACCTATTTGTACATTTTTTTGGTTCTATGCAATGAACTTTAAAATGGAAAAAGTGTAATGAAAAAGTTGCCATATTAAATCCTTTTGGATTTTATTGGATATGTCTATTATTAAAATAAAATATTATTACACATAGGTACATGTATATGTAATTAAAAAATATAATTATCAGGTACATGTATTTTATATCACTAAAATAAGCCTAAGACATTGTTTTAAATGTGGAAGAAAAAAATACAATGAAACAAACAAAATGCATCAGCATAAGGACTTTTATGTATAAACTGGATCATCTAATATTAATGAGATTATGCAATTTTACTTTCAATTTTACACAATTATCCCACCTTTGGTAATGCTGCTACTTGATATGCTGCCCGGGCTGGGAAACTCTTTTGAAAAACTAGAAAGTAAAATGGACACTATTATTTATCATAACTTTAAAATGGAAAAAAGGGCCCAAGGGCCACAAATCTCACCTGAGTTACTTTGGCCCTGCTGTTCTTTACCAGACTATCTCCCGTGTAATACCTGTTGTGACCTAATCTTACTCTTAAGTGTGATGATATTCACAATTTATATATTTCAATGTTAAAATTCCATATTGTGGCCCCGCCCAACCCTCAGGGTCACAATTTTAACAATTTATTAAAATCTACACTACCCTGGAATGTTTCCAGAGTAGTATTCACTATTCTGGCCCACTGTTTCTTAAGAAGATTTTTTCATTATAATTTCAATGTCAAATTTGGATTTCCTACAAAAAAAAGTGGTTCCACCCATCTCCCAGGGGTCATGATTTTGAAAATGTAGAAGTATACACTATCTCAGGATGCTTCCAAATATGTTTTAGCTTTTCTTGCTTAGTGGTTCTTGAGAAGAAGTTTTTTTTAATGATCTCACCTTATTTTGGTATTTTCTTGATTATCTCCCCTTGTACTTGGCCCTTCATTTTAATTATTTAACTTCCTCTTCATCCAAGGATGCTTTATACCATCTTGCAAATGTAAAAAAATTACAGGTGGACAGACAGACAGATGGACAATGGGTGGTAAGAAAAGCTCACTTGAGCTTTCAGCTCAGGTGAGCTTAAAAAGGGGCTCATTGGCCAAAATGCTCACCTGAGTCACTTATTAAAATATACTTGCACTATATAAACAAAAAAATTTTCCCAAAACTTGGTAAATGCTCGTCCATTAAAGCTAATAATCAAAATCAATGAGAAGGAGAAAATTAACTTATAAATTCAGATTCAAATTATTCATAAATACAAGCATGCAACAAAATAATCCATATTCAATGGGAGTTTCTGTAACCTTTTATTTAGTATTAGACAGTAACTTTTCCGTGCATAGTGATATAAAATATGACAGAGGAGTCCTTGTCGCATTCCCACTGGTTATTACGTGTTTTACTCTTCACAAAAGTTAGCTTACTTCTGTGAGATTACTGAATAATTAAAAATCTGGTAAAGATACCATTTTCATGACATAATTTATGATTTATGTATAATTTTCTTGATGACATTAAAAAAAATAGAACCAGAAGTCTCTGTCGAGACTGTAGCTCTACTGGTTTGTACTTATCAAAAACCATTGCACTATTTTATGTATCTTGGTGTAGTCTACTTGTGTGCCAACTTATTTTGAAATCAAGCTAAAACTGTAGACGGAGTAGCGTTTTAAAGGAATTTCAAAGAAAATTCTATTTTTAGTAACTATGGTAACACCGTTCATCGAAACCAAAACCTGATGCACTATTCTATGTATCTTAGTGTAGTCTACTTGTGTGCCAAGTTATATTGAAATCCGACCAAAACTGTAGAAGGAGTAGCGTTTTAAAGGAATTTCACAGAAAATTCTATTTTTAGTAACCATGGCAACACCGTTCATTGAAATCAAAAACCGATGCACTATTCTATGTATCTTAGTATAGTCTACTTTTGTGACAAGTTATATTGAAATCAGACCAAAATTGAGGAAGGAGTAGCGTTTTAAAGGAATTTCACAGAGAATTCTATTTTTAGTAACCATGGCAACACCGTTCATCTAAATTAAAAACCGATGCACTATTCTATGTATCTTAGTGTAGTCTACTTGTGTGCCAATTAATATTGAAATCAGACCAAAACTGTAGAAGGAGTAGTGTTTTAAAGGAATTTCACAGAGAATTCTATTTTTAGTAACCATGGCAACATTGTTCACCAAAATCAAAAACCGATGCACTAATCTATGTATCTTAGTGTAGTCTACTTGTGTGCCAAGTTATATTGAAATCAGACCAAAATTGTAGAAGGAGTAGCGTTTTAAAGGAATTTCACAGAAAATTCTATTTTTAGTAACCATGGCAACACCGTTCATCGAAATCAAAAACCGATGCACTATTCTATGTATCTTAGTGTAGTCTACTTGTGTGCCAAGTAATATTGAAATCAGACTAAAATTGTAGGAGGAGTAGCGTTTTTAAAAATTGTTTACAGACAGACGGACAGACATTAAAAACAGAAGACAGATATATTTTCTCTATCACATAAGCTCTTCTGGTCTCTGACCAGTAGAGCTAAAAACGAATACATTTTCTCTCTGAAGCCCTTTTGATGGCATGCTTTGACTGAATGATTTTTTAATAAATAATGTAGGTCATAAGGATAGGCATGTTAACGGAGTATCAAATGTTGGCCTCAATACACAGATAAAGGTCATGAAAATGAAAGTTGATGCCAAGCAATCTATGTGTTTAAATGCTTCAAAAACTTATACATGTACATGTACTTACATTTGGAATAAACTTCATTAACAGCTCCAAAGTTATTGATGTCATCTAATAACACAGTGGCTTTGACAACTGTTAAATAACGAGGCAATGCAGCATGAACATTTTTATTATTGTCAAAGAAAATATCATGTATAGCACTTAAAATCAAATCATGCATGAAACTGTTTTTTACAAAACTGCATGGGTACGTTTTATACCTATTTTACCACATTTACTAAGTTTTAAACTACATATACTGTTCTTCCATTAGATTATTAGAAAACTGACTACATGTACTGTGGTAGTCAGCACGATCTAAACCTGCAAGTTTACTGCTCGATCACTGGTCTATTTAAAAATTAGAAACATGTCCACAGGACCTGAATGCCCCAACAGCAATGATCTGTCTACATCATTAGAACTAGAATTCAATAAGTGTGAACCTAAATAAAATCGAAGCATAATGCATTTCATATAAGATCTGTGATTAACTGCATGCAAACATTTGATTTTGTACAGGCATGCAGCAATTCATACAGAGAGAGTTGCAATAATCAATTTTAAGTGACAAAGATTATATGCTCATGATCTTAGACAAGATAAACTCAACAGAGTTATCTTACTTTTAAAAAAATATGCTACCTACATATATCTTTGAGACAGCATACTGTAAATGTGTTAAATTTAGGGTGTACAATATTTGGTGGAAATTGACTTTTGAACATGTTAGCATAGATTTGAATTAGCGCAATTCTTAATGTTCTCAATTATGTATATGTGCAAGACATTTAGCGATGCACTTGAATTAGCAGAAATTTCTTTCCCCCAAAAGTGCTAAAAAGAATACATAGCCAAATGAAATATGTTTACAGTAATTTAAGTAGGTATTAACCATTAATAAATATTAAATTTGAAAAGAACTACTGAGTTGATGTAAAAGAATCTCTTACCATTATTCATATTGGTACCTGCCTCTTCAAGAATCGCCTGCATATTCTTTAAGGCCTGTCAATGATTAAAACACAAAGTATTTATATTTCTGATTTAAAGAAACTTGGTATAAAATATTTACATGCATGCAAAATCTACCAGTAACTAGTATATAATTTGGAATTGATTCCTCTCTTCAACATATTTTGCACAAATGTTGTTCAGAAAAGATACAAAAATACAGTTTTCTTGATAAGTAAGAATTGGTAGTAAACAAAATATACATGTATACATTTACACAGTATATGTTTATTTCTTGGTGTTCCTTGCTTTTATGGCTTGAATTACTGTATATTTTCAAAAATGCATCTTTTTTTTTTTTTACCAAGCAATGGTTCTGAATGCCTTTGAAAAATACTTAAAGCAGCAGGTCGTATTTTTTTTTTGTGGATAATTTTTGAGAGTTATCCATTGTCATGAACATTACTTAAATAGTTTAAATTTATAATCACTCCACAATGATTAAGACCACAGTGGTACTGACTATACTGACCTGTTCTGTCTCGGGCACCACACCTCCTGGCACGATGTTCCCAGACAGATTCATTCCTATCTGTCCAGACACATACAGTGTGTGCTCAACCAGAACTGCCTGGCTGTAAACAACATGTAACTCAATTAATAATAATCATCAAATAGCAACAAATATTTTGCTATTTTTAGGGATTTTTAAAGATCAATCTAAAACTACTGCTAGGATATTCATATTTTAAGATTCTTCATATCAATTTAATAAAGACTTAATCTTAATCGGCGTTTCACATCAATATTTGGTGTTTTTGAATGAGAAGCTCAGGCCCACATCACTCACTTGAGCACTGTGGCTAGGAAAAAAAAAGCAAAATCAGTTCAGTATTGAAAAGCTTAATGGAATGCAAAAGTGGTCCAGACTAGGAGAGGGGGTATAATTTGAAGAAAATTGAATCAATGCTAACTAAGGATTCTTATCAATAAATATTTTTTGATTAAATGTGACTTTTCCCTACAAGTTTGAACTTTCATTGTGGTCCAACCCTACCCTTAGGAATCATGATTTGAACAAATATGAATCTATACCACCTGAGGATGCTTCGATATAAATATGATCAATCATACATATGCTGTTTTTGAGATTATGATCAATCATATATTTTATGTTCTTAAGAAGAAGATTTCTGAACATTTTTCCTTTATTATACAGTAAAACTCGTTTGGTACAAACACGGATATTGCAAATTCACAGATATGATAGCGAAGTTATCTTGATCCCCTGCTATATAAATTTTAAGCAAATTCCTGAAATGGATTTAACGATCGAATTACAGATATGATGAAGTAATTTCGTAGGTCCCAGTGACTTTGCTGTAACTGCGAGTTTTACTGTATTCTTATGTTAAATTTGGATTGTTCATTATGGCCCCAACCTTTCTCCCAGGGATGTCATATGATGATAATGATAATCATAATTAAATAGCAATGATAAAAATATTTTGCCATAAATTATATATGATAAAAACAAACTTGAGATATATTTTTCAACATTTGTTTAAAAATGATTCCTCATATTTAAAGGTAAAGTTCCATCTTTCCTGGCCCAGTGATTCTTGAGAAGAAGTTTTTTCTTACATATTTCTCTGCAAAACTTAGATCCGTCATTGTGGCCCCAACCTAGTTTTCAAAGGAAGAAATTTCTTGATTTTCCGCAAAGTAAATAATTTGTATGTTAAAGACTTGCAGACCGAGTCTACATGGTCATGAAAATTTAGTGTTTGATCTATATGAACCCCAAGTATCAACATTATTGTTCAATGAACTGAGAAATTTGATTTCCTTTGTTTAGTACCCATCAGCATACAGAACCTGAGGTCATAATTCCAAATGAGTTTCATCTTTACTGGACCACTCACTGTGCTTCTTGAAAAGAATTTTGAAAGATGTCATTAATTTTCACTAATTCATAATTATCCATTCCAAAGTTCGATGGGGAAATAGTAGGGACTGTGACTATTTTTTTTTTTTTATAAATAGTAAAATAAAGCTATGTAGGTAAATGACCAGTTGTTGTGGACTCATAAGGTAAAATGTAAACCTATAGGGTTTGAGACAATTATTTTAATCAAGAAAATAAAATAAGCTTATTAAAATGTACTCATGATAGAGTGCACTGACCTATAATCCAATTGGGATGTGAAAGTGTAATACCTTTCCGTAAAAGTAAACAAACCCGTTAATCGGATTAAGGACACTGTAATCAACCAGGATGTTTATCTATCTTCGGACATCAATACAGGAAGAGTAACGGAACATTGCAAAAACTTACTTTAATATTATATTAACTTTTGCGCAATACCAGGACACTGAACTGAAGCTTATGTTTATATTATAATTTATTTTATAAAGTTCTAGAATTTTGACCAAATTTACTGTATAACTTGTTTACTTGAATCTGATTTGTTTGTTTCATATATATATGTAGATGAGTATTATGTATTGTACATTATAAAATGACAGTCTAACTTTACTAAGCACTCACTCTCTCACTCTCATCTGGGCCACACTTCTCAGAGTGGGGCTCTTTGGAGCAACATTCTAGGAGGGATCGAGAGACACTATACGATCACGGGCCATTTAATGATCGATATTCTTTGTTCTTAACCACTATACGATCATCATTTGTATTCTCTAATAATTTCACTACTGTTAAAAAACTCTTAGAAAAGACTTTTTCCTTGTCATTGGTTCACACAGAGAGCAGTTCGAAGGTTAAATACCATATAATCCCTATTAACCGCCCCGGGCGCTTAGAAAATTGCAAAAAGGGGGCGGTTATTTTGGTATTCTCTTTATAATATTTAATGCCACATTTTAACTTCAAAAAATCTTTTGAAAAAAAAAATAAATAAAAGGAACAACTAGAATAATGTCTAAGTTTACTTAAAGTGAATATAATCCACACAAATTATGCTAAATTATTCATTTTCCATTGAGAAATTGATAATAGACAAGTTTCTGTTTCACTTTCTTCAATTTTTGATACGATTCTAGTTGATTTTAATCACTGTACATAGGGCCTTTATTTCCTGAAAATTGAAAAAGACCTCAGGGGGCGGTTATAGGGGCTGGGGCGGTTAATAGGGATTATACCAGTCCAATCCACACTTTTCAAAAGTTATGTTCCTTGGCCGCCATCTCAGGGGATAAACCCATACAATCCACACAGTAGCCTTTGTAGTTCTCAGGTTTTTAACTTCGTCATTTGACTTTTAAAAAGCTCTGCCTTTTGTGTACTGATTGCCCCAAGATGGGGCTACCCACACATTGAAAGAAAAAAATTAAACACTATGGTTTTATCACAGTGCGCCCAAATATTTGGTAGCATAAAGAGGAGAAATGACGTTTCTTTCCCTTTTGATCTTTTTATTGACCCCGCAAAGGGAAACATTAACTTTTGCAAAGTGTGGATTGGACTAGGGCTATCAGTGTCACTATCAGATTGTTATATAGAAATCAGGAGGAAAAAAAATAATGATAATCACCTGTATGGTCCTATAGCAGATGGAGCTTTTGCTGTCTGGATTACTCGCCGTACTAAGCCTGCCATTTTTAGTACACGTACTTTTAAGCGCACCTTGGATCGTACCGACGACCAAAAAGAAAAAGTGAAAATGAAAGTAAGTTATAAAAGTAAAGTAGATAGATTCCGGTTTCCTGGATGGAAGTACGTCTCTTAGAAACAGGCTTATATTAGGTTTTTAAATTTTTTTGTATAGCAGAGAGTTATGCTGTTATCCCCAGTGAGCATTTATAGCTAGACACCTTGATAAAATATATGTAAATATTATCCGGAAAAATAAATTTGACGCGTTTCTTTTCTATGATTTATTATTTTCAAGATGTCTGCGCCCATGGAAAGAACCACCTTGCAGCCTATGTTGAAAGATTTTGCCTAAAATTATCCATAACATATGACTGAAATGGAGCAGATTGGCAGAAAAAGGAAATTTGATGGAAAAGCAGACTTTGCTAAGAAACAGAGAATCCAAGAAACAGTCCTGTCCGAAGCACCACAAGGTACACTTTAGTATCGTCTCGTATCCTATTTTCGACCGTATTGTATTTTCGACCTATTTTTCCCAATCTGCTTCCCGTGCAGATACCGCACGGTAGAACATTATTTTCGGTTGTTACACTTGGAAAAATACCTTTCAAGCACACCTTTAGTAAAAATACCCAAAATAATTAATTCAACGGAATTCCCTCCATGGTTTTAGTCCGATGTCAGGATTTTTAGTCTTTTTACTAATGCACATTTTATCTGTTGATTAATCAAAGCCGCAATCGATTAATTACAAAGATTTTTTGATGACATTTTTCCGAAAGAAAATTAAGATCTCTGTCAAAGAGAAGCATGCATATTGAAATGAATGGGTGGATCAAACATATTTTTTTTCTCCCTTAGATATAGGCACTTTCTTACAGGTTTTTACTGAAAAATGCATTGTAATTTCATTGATTTTTTTTGGAAATGCACAGCTCCTGACAGATGAGTTCAACCAACGAATAAATGTATTTGCAACCGAAATATGCAATTTGTTCAATGTTTTTTTGAAAGACAGACAATCGTATTTTTATTGTTTGGAATATCCAACGGATATTTAAAGCCAATACTGTTTGGTCGTTGATACTATATTTAGGTCGAAAACACAAGACGCTAATATTTTTGTAGGTAAAAATGAACCCTCCCAATATTATGGCATATAAATAAAATAAACACAAAACTGCAATTTGGGTTATATAATTTTATTTATAGACACATATGCTAACATTTTAAGTCCATAGTTTTTAAGCCTCTATAAAGTTTGCAATAAATTAATAAATTACATCTAAATAGGTCGAAAATACAATACGCTAGGATAGTTCTACCACAGGGGCTTGTGTAGAGAAAATAAATCAGTTAAAAAAATTAGTACATCGGAGAAAAAAACAGTGGTCAGCTACTCTTATTGGAGTAAGTACTTAATTCATTCCAAGGAAGGGAGTGCATGATTTTGACTCGTAGCAGAAATTTATTGGTGCCATGAAAAAATACAGTAAAACATGGTTATGATAAACATGCATGCTTAATTGCTTATAACGAATTGACACTTACAGTGATTTTCATTCCTCATCTGCCCCTGGCACTTTGTTATCAAAGTGTGTTTTACTGTATCAAATTTATTTTTAAATTTAATTTCAGCCATCAATGTAGTTGAATATGCAAAGTGTAGGGCTGCAGAGTTACAGCTCCTAGATGCTGCCACCAAACAGAGAAAGGTTTCCCAAGCAGTGAATGGATTGATGTCCATTTCCATGCGACGGAGAGCAATGAGTCACAACATTAAAAGGTTGCCCCACAGAGTGAGGGAGGTAACAAATGTCTTGATTCTCTTTTTATATTGGTTATAAAATACTTTTAAAATTAGATCCATGCTATAAAAAGCCTTTGTTACATGGTTGTCCCAAAGAACCAAGGGCTGGGAATTTTTTCTGCCCATGATGATGTAATTCCTTTTTTTATTCTGGTATTCCTTTCAACCCCTGTTTGGGGAGGAATGCCAGTCCCCCTCCTACTGTCCCCTGGCTGTATTTTCAATATTTATGTACAACCCCGATTGGTATTATATTTGGAGTAATTAGGATACTGTACAGCAGGAAATTAACTCGCGGAGTTAATATTTGCTATATTCGCAGAAAAAGAAATTCCGCGAATTCAACATACAGTGAATAATTCTTGAAAAGATTTATAAGGATAAACTGAAATTTTATTATCATCTGTGATTAGATGTAGACTGTCATTATAATTATGAGAGTGTATACAAACACGTAGTTGTTGGTATTTTGTAAAGCTTATTAATTGTTAAATTAATTTCTATAGCTGACAATTATGGTAGTTATGCCATCTAGTAGACGTGCAATGTAATTATTTAATTAAACAAACTTGTATAATTTCACCCGTGTGTATCACTCAGTCATTACCTTTAATCAACATGATCAAGGCACTTGCGAAGTAAACAGGGTAAAGACAATTAATTTATTTCAATTATATGATTAAAAGTTCAACAATTTGACTACTAGGATCAGTCCGGTGTTTCGTTCTTATTTAATCGGGCTCAAAATTGACACAATATATAGATTTGCCTTTCCTGTCTGATATGCGCGATATACATGAACAGACTTTCGTAAAATAGAAACTGAAAATAAAGGATCACACAATATATGCCTAAAGAAAAATGCTTGCAAGTACTGTTAAAAAAATGTATGGTTTTTTCCTTTCCGCGAATTCAAACGACCGCGATTTGCTGAAAATTGAACAAATCGCGATCTTTTCCGACCGCGATTTTAACCTGCTATACAGTATCGACTTCAACAGATGGTAGCTCTAATGCTTATGGATAAGACAGGCAGTTATATTTTCGTTTATGCAAACCATAAAATTAATGAAATATAATTTTCACTTCTCCTCAATGGGCAAGTTATCAATAGTTCTTCTGAATTATAACTTATTTTTGTAATAGATCTAGTATTATAGATGATAGGGCACAAATGCTGTGTAGGAGTGATTGCAAGTACTATTCGGTTTTCCTCCAGTGTTCACTGAAAATCTGTGCAAGTAAAATGTGATTTTGTAGATGGTGACAATAAAGGCTAATAAACACAAAAAACCAAGTAGAAGACACAGAAGACGGCCTAATAACCTGTTGCAGGAGTACGTCCGACGCCAGAAAACCAAAGTTTGGCTTGAAACTCACATCTGGCATGCAAAACGATTCAAGATGATAGAAAAATGGGGTTACAGGATTCCTTATCAACCTACGGATAAGAGTTCTCGGGCATCTTACAGGGCAACTCAGCATCACTGTCAAATGATAGTAAGCATGGATTCAATTTCTATGAGTATATTATTAACTGATCCCAGAAACTTAAACATAGGCTACATAGCTTTCTGATTACTTGTGTGTTAATATTTGCAGTGATTTTTAGCTCACCTCAACTAAGTTGGGACCGCGTGTCGGCGTCAGCGTCCCATAGTCCAGTCAAAATAGCAAAAAAATTGTAAAACCCTAAACTAATTGCAACAGAATTTTCTTTAGTATTTTATGCGAGTTCAACATGTAGGCAGTGTGATATGAAAAATCGGAAAAATTCCATCGAGGCAATTTTTTGAAATTTAGGTGGGAATTATCTAATATTTTGTTTGAAAAAAGAGGAAAAAAAGAAAGTAAATAGGTGGAAAATTACACATGATTTTTTAATTGGCGAGCAGTGTTTGTATTAATATTAAAAAAAACAAATATACAGGAATAAAATTCAGAAGATATAATTATTATTGTAATGAATTAATGCGTCATGTTCAATAATATACCTTGCTTTAACAGAGGGAATTCGAATTACATAAATTTTTTTCAGATGCCTGATAAAAAGTGGTTATATGACTGTTCTTTGGTCCTTATAACCATAAACATTAAATGGGAAATAGACATTCATGAAATATTTTTCAATATTTTCTGTGATCAATGTATATCATGGGCTAATTTAAGTAAAAAATCAGAGGAAATTCGGATCATATGTTTTTTTCTAACCAAACTAAGTAAATTTCTACTCAAAGTTAGTTTAACATAGCAACTTTATAAAAGTTTATGAAAGTTCATACAGTATGAAATTACTTGCTTATTTTGCGTATCAACATTAAGAATAAAAGTGAAATTTCTTAAAGAAACAGAGAAAATTCGAATCGTCTATCGTTTGTCTCTCCCGAAGTGGACAACCATTTGATTCTGAAGAGGGATAGATTTTAGAAATAATTAATCTGTCCTCGAAAGAGTTGAAAATAAATAATATGACCTCGACTGGACAGGAAAAAAATAATCTGCCACTAACCCCCCCCCTTCCCCCTCTGAAGAATAAGAGAACTTACTATAAGAGTACTATTTGTCGACTTGGATTTAAATATTAAACATTGGAAATAAATATTATCCTTCGCTGAAATCAAAATAAAGAATTTGACTCAAAAGAATTTGCCAGCCCTCCCCCCCTTTAATCACTTGCAACTCGTCCCCTTATTGCTTCTGAAGGCTATATGCTGAGGTGTATTTCGTTTCCCTCTTAGTTTCCTCTGCAACATGTTCGCGTCAAAGTTATGACCTGACGTAATAATCTCTCTTGCATGGTTGTCATCATAATATTCAATTAAAATAACATTCATCGCTTTTATACAATATACCCCAGAATTTTGCAATGCACTGACTCTACATAATCGTGTTTGATGATGGTTGTTGCATTTTAATTCAATTAAAAACCAATTAAGTACTACATATCAATGGCAGGAATATATGCAAAGACGACATGGACCGACATTGTTTTGATTTGGTTGACATTCGTTTTAACCTAGGAAATCAACGGGGTTCATTGGCGTCGAAACCGGGGGGAGGGGGTCTTTTTTATTTTGCAAAAATAGACATTATATAGGCATTGAGAATTGGGATTAACCCTTTTTATGAGTTTAGACCCCCCCCCCCACTTTCGATTAGCACTCCTCCCCCTACTTTCAATTTGCTTCCAACGCCCATGGGGTTACAAAGTAATCAAACCGGAGTTGCACGCCTTTCACATATTTTTGGCGTGAATGGGTTATATTTTGGCTATTAATAAATATAAATTATAAATTATAATAAATGTAAATAATAAGATAACTTGTTTCGAACAAGGTCTGGGTTAAATATTTGGGGGATGAGGTTCTGTCTAGAGTCCAAAAGTAGCTATATATGAGCATGTCTTTATCATCATACAAAAGAAAGGAGCGCATAAGAATTAATAAATTTACAGACATGTGATTTATTTTTCAACGAGAAAATAAAGCGGTCCAGCTTTGTTTTGTATCACTGAGTATTAGTGTTTTATAAATGGTCTTTGGTTTCATTTTTTCTTATGATTAAACCAAATTCCATGTGATAATTTTCAATATGGCATATTTTAAAATATGTTAATTGCGTGATTTTATGCCGAGACAAGAATATATTGCACTAGAATATATGCAACGAAAATATATGTGAGAAAAATTCAGGTTTAAATGCAGCAGTAACGGTACGTTTGGGACTACATCTACTTCAGCTTTAATTTCTAATGATAAATCTGGATAGATCTAAGTTATGAACTGTTTTGATTAAATCAACTAAATCTCAGAGATAAGAACAGTTATGTATTATTTAACAAAATATATATATATATTATATCCTTTGATTTTAGCATAAAAAATACCTGACACTGTAGTGCTTCCCACTTACTAGATCTAAAGAGTTTCTTCAAGAAAATAATATAAACCTTTAACTTTTTTTTATTTTAAATCAAAAATACAATGTATAATTACTTAAATTTATCAAAGTACATGAAATTCATTGCAATCCTCGAATCCATCATTCTCGGTATTACATGTACGATTCATTGCAATCTTCAATTCCATATTTCTCGGTATTACGATTTCTAAAATATTTCTCTGTGCATAGTGACACCAATTCAGTTTCCCATGTTATTTCCGTTAAAAATGTTGATTAGAATCCCAAAATATCGAGATATAACAGTTTGAATAGGGAGGTGAGGGATGGAAGACTACCGAAGTTTGTAGAACTTGTATTCATTAATTCCGTTGACATAAATTGTTAATAATAATAAATAAATGATATCTTCATAACAAACAGCGGAGACGTTGGTTAATCATTTCATAAATTTAAAATAAGCCACGGTTGTCTATTTGTGTTAAATCATAGGAGAATCAATGGGACTTTACCCTCTGACAGTGACATCAGTGATACAGTGTATTATAGAAAATATAACGCACTGGGAAGAAATTTTGACTGAGATGGCGTTCCATATAGATTTAACTGCAACAACGAATTTACGCTATGAACTAATCAATAAAAGGTCTAGCTCTTGTGGAAAGTATGAAATCAACAACTTTTAAAACTAGTGCACTTAATTTTAACTTTTTTCCTATGGCTGTCTAATTTAAAAAAAAAATAAAATATAGGCCTGTATTATTAAACTGTATAGCCTCTTCATGTTGAAAGTGTCAAAAAGTATAAAATAATATTCTGGCTTATTTTCCTTTTCAATTATTGGTAATATTATGAAGGAAACTTATAAAAAAGTTACTTTTCAAAAATTTTTGGTAAATAATTCTTATCTATGACGTACTTTAGTAGAAAATGACGTCAACAGCGAGTAGTATGGTGCGTCTTACCAGAAACAAAATGAAAGTCATGTTTCCATATTTTTAAAGTCGATTTGTATGAAAACCACTCGTCCGATTTTTTTCCGATTTTTTATGGAGTTACATTATGCTATTGGAAGAAACACTACCATAAGAAAAATTCTGTTGCAATTAGTTTGAGGTCAAATTTATAATGACTGGACTACCAGGTTAAGGTTAATTTTTTTGGGAGCAGTTTTCATTTTAAGTACTTCTACGTCCTACATTGATTAGACATGCATGGAAGATGCTTCTAGTGTGTTTCATTGTACCCGTCAAAGTTTCAGATGCTGCAATTTCAGCAAAGGAATGACCAGGTTAATGTTTTTGGAGCAGGTTAACATTTTTGGTGCAGTTTTTGGTGTAGGTCTCATTTCCAAGGAACTATAAGCCCTATGTTGACTAAACTTGCATGGATGATACATCTAAGATGCACACTACCAGGCTTGCTTCAGATGCTGAATCTGACCAACTGTGGCTACATTTTCTGGTTGAGTGAACAGGTTAAAGTTTTTGGTGCAGGTTTCATTTCCAATATACTATGAGCTCAAAAATGACCAAACTTGCATTCATTTCCAAGTAACTATGAGCTCTTTAATGACTAAACTTGCATGGATGATACATTTAAGGTAGGATTCTTCTCTGGTTTCTGACTAGATGAAACATTAAAAGTATATTTGCTTATATGTCTTATATATTGAGGTGTAAGGAATTTAAAAGACCATATTTTTCTTTCCTCACCACAATTGTACAACTTTAAATAGAAATGGTAAACTGCATTTGAAAACTAGCAAGGACTATATTTTTGGTGGAATGGTGGCGTATGAAAATATCTTCTTTTCTGCCTCTCAAAATTATAATTGAACAATGAATTTAGTTATAATTTTTACACAATCGAAGACTTGGAGAAATTTTCAAATGTAAGTTAAATTAATAATGAGGGACTAAACTTTCAAAATATATCAAATAAATATGATTTTTCAAACAAACTAGAACTTTATTAGCTTTTAAACGCTTCCTATCAAAGTGCAGATATGAGCCAAAAATCCATAAAAAGTATTTTTTCTCTCCTAGTGAACGATCAAAACTTTTTGTTTTTGTATCATTTTGTGCATTTATAAGACTACTTTATTATATGTGAAAATAAGAAAAAGTTGAATATAGGAAGCATATGAAAATAACTAATATATCCTAAAAAATTAAGAAAAACAGAGAAAATTCGGATTAGCCAAAATCCAGTTAAGTTAAATTATTTATGTAAATTTGGTAATATCATGCTATAGACCCGATATAGTAATATGTTTTTATGCAAAAAGAACAATCATTAAACTTTTGAATTAGAAGTAATTATCACATGATTGGCAACAGTTATTTTTTATGCTTAATGTCAAGGAAAAAGATAATGACCTTGACCTAGCCTCTAATATAAAACGGTCAAACTTAATTTCACTGATACTATCCCTTACTGATATTGTCTTCTTGATTCTGTGAAAATTTCATTAATTTTTAAATATTAGAAATATGAGAAGAATCCTACCTTAGGTTAGTTTTTGGTGCAGGTTTCATTTCTATGTAACTATTAGCCCTATGTTGGGCAAACTCACATGGATGATACATCTTAGGATGCACACTTATGGACTTGCTCTGGATGCTGAACTCGACATAAATTTTCCAGATAATGGACCAGGTAAAAGTTATGGATGCAGGTCTATTACCAAGAAACTATAAGGCTTATATAAACCAAACTTGCCCAAATGATGCATCAAGGGATGAAAACTTCCAAGCTTGCTTCAGATGCTGGATTTTAATCACATTTTCATGATGAAGAACTAGTTTGAAGTTTTTATGAAGGTCTATTCCAAAGTATAAGATCAAAATTGCATAAATTTTGCAATTTTGAATGTACACTTTTTGTTGGGTAATTGTGTGACTTTGTCTTACTTAAAGACAACATTCGTTGAGTTGAGCTCTGTAATCTCTGACTACTGTACCTATGGGTTTTTTTTTGGGGGGGGGGGGGGAGATAGTAGTAGACTTGAATTTTTTGCACTAGATACAAATTCAGTAATTTTCCTGACAGATATTGCAATTTATATAAATAAAAACTCTTTTTTTTATCATTTTGACATAAAGCATCTTGAGTTAATGCCTGTGGGGAGAGATTATGTATTGATTTTGAATTTTTCAGGATGTTTCCTACATGTGCTGCATAGAAGTTCAAGGAAATGAAGAAGATATCATCAGTGGTGTTTCTCGTCTGTGTAATTCACAAACAGGTAAAAAGTTCATCAAAGTCATAATGAACAAGAATAACTTGATCTTTCTTTACATACATGTGTTTTTTGTCCCAAGTTTTCATATTTAAAATGTTCAAACAAATTACGTTTTGATTTTGAACTAAACAAGATTATTTAATAAATATGTGTACCTTTTCATGGTTTTGAAGTGCAGTGTGCATTGTCTAGTAACTACCGGGTATGTCTGCATAATTTTCAGGACTAACCATTGGAGCCAAGATGTACTTGGAAGGAACCAGAGAGGGTAGCTGTGTATTGTACAAACAAGATCAGTATCCTCTGGGAGCCATTTGTCCTGTTACATTTCTTTGGAGACCCAGGACTGAATCGCACTCTCTTCGTCAGCTATGGATTTGGTGTCATCCTGCTTCCTATAATGAACTGTGGCAGGAATTAGAGGCTAGCTTTTCCCATACAGAAGGTTGTGCAGCTCAGGACATTTCCGAAGAAGTCTGCAGCTGTCCAGTTGATGAAGTGGGAAAAGGGAAAACTGTGTCTGAAATCTGGGATAAAGCTCCTGTCAACAATAATTCTGAAGAACAAGAGATTCATAGTGAAAAAAAGGATGAGGAAGAAATAAAGAAAATTGACAATGATTGTAAGGCATTTAGTGAAAAGAAGGGAAAAGGGAAGCAACAAAAAAGGAAGAAGGAGACAACTCAGAAACCAACTGAGGAGCAAGTCATAAAAGTAGTAAACAGAAAATCTCAGATCGGGAAGATTTTGATGACTTCTTTAAAAGACAGACTTGTGAGGCATCGCTTCATTGGACCAGAGTCTCAGAAAGTTCTGGAACAAACTCTTTGCATAGCAGATATCATGTCCAACAAAAGTGAACCAGCTCACTGGTGGAAACAGTACTTCCAGGACCAGGAACACTCCTTGGGCTTTAACCAGCAGAGGGAATTCTGGGAAGGAGTCTGTCAGTGTCGGTCTGCTGCAGAGTTGTCTCCCCATTGTGTTATTGGTCTGACTGTTAGGGATCCTAGAGTCATCAGAGCAAAGAAACGGAATGATTCCGCAAGTAAAGGTAAAATATAGAAAAAAATATATACAGTGGAGCCTTATTTATCCGGATGCTTTGGTTCCCAGTCAATTTGTCCGGATATGTGAAGCATCCAGATATCTGAATTACCAGTTAAACAAGACAAAATAGAGAGGTTAAGCATTTGACCGTGTACGTCTACTTGTACGTGTAAACCTAGAAGTGATTTTACGCGTATGCATAACTAATGTCATTTTCTGTTTAACAAATTAAACGTGTACGGTACGTGTAAAACGTCATTTCAACAAGGCACAACAATCTACAAGTAGACGTACACAGTCTTCTGCTCAACCTCTCTAATAACGTTTAAAAAATTCCGTTCCGATGAATAGTCATCCGGATATCTGGCGTCCGGATATCTGAAGGTCCACTGTACCGGGGTAGTGAAATATTTCTCAAAATATCACGTGTTCTGAAATCTATTCCTATACTATTATGATATTTAGTCTCTTTTAATGAACTTAGTTGTTTATTTTGTCTATTCTGGAATGTCATCTACCATGTAATTTGGCATACTATGAAAGATATGAAAACAGTGGTGTCTGGATAAGACAGGCTTTACTGTATATCTATCTCCTCTATCTCTTTTTTTGTTTCAAAAGAATACAATGTTCAAAGAGGGGAATGTACCAATCTGAAGAGATAATTATGGAAGCTATTTGAATTTTCAATTAAATAAAGTAATAAAGGTCTTTATTGCACCTCAATTTTTAGAAACTTCAGAGGCCATGATGTCTGATGATACAGGAGCCATTACACTGAAGATCAGCCAGGATGTCTCCTCTTCACCCCTGTGGAAGGAAGAAATCCGGAAGACAGTGACTTCAACAAAAAAGTCAGACTTTGAAATCAATCAACTGAAGTCTGAACATGTTGTGCCAGGTTTGTACAGAATGCAGTTATTAAGTGAAAAATTGCTGTCTATAGACTGCAGATGTTAGGAAACATTCTATATAAATACACAAATGAAATGTTAGCTGCAAGAATATGATAAAACTTGCTTATAAAAGTTGGTTTACAGTATTTTCTTTTGTTGTTAAAGCAAGTATTTTAATTATTAGCTGGACTTCCATAGGAATTTCCTCAAAGTTTGCTGCAGGTCTAGTCAAGTTACTCAAATATGTAAACCAACTTTTATTCATGTGCAAGAAATTTTCCTGAGTTTCAAGTCCATTTTTTTAACTTGCAAATATTCCTTGCCCCAAAACCTATTTCTTAGTTATATACATGTACTTGTTTAGAATGTTTTTGTCAGTCATGAAACTTTAATAGCCATTTCATATACCGGTAGATTTTAAACAGATGAATTGCAAATAAAAATTGTTGTAAATAATAATTGCTGTACAGTATTAAGGATATTAGGTCTTTTGAAAATAGACACATGAGAGTGACATGATACATACAGTAGGTAACATGTTTTAATGGTAAACTTTTTCAGGGACAGAGTTAATACTAGGGGATGAGGAAAGTAGGATTCCAGTGCTGCTCATTCAGAACCAAGGAGTCGATCCCAAAGACAGGAATCACAGTCACTATGGGAGTGGATGGGATCTCATCCTTCCTGCAGGGTGGAGCATGGCATTCTGGGTAGCCAGTGTCTATCATGGGGCAAGAGCAGGAGGTTTGCGTGAATTACAGTGCCTGGCTAATGAACAGCAGAGTGAACACTTTCCAGAAGATTTCCCAGATACACAAGCAGGGCAAGCAGAGGAAAACAGGATAAAGAGTGAAAAAGAGGCTGAGCATAGCAGACGACCTCCAGCCAAAAGACCAAATTTCAGAAAGTTAGGTATGGATCACCCATTCAGTTGGGCATGGAAACAACTGGTTGATGAGAAAGATGATAGCCAAGACTTTTATGTGTTAAGGGGAAGAGATGATCTCAGAACTTTGAGAAAAGTATTAAATATTGCTTCTGGAAAGAACAAGAAATGTTTGCAAAGTCACATTGATGATGCATTGCATGCCTCCTTCCAAGATGTCATTAGTAGACACAAACAATCTTTGGTTTACATCAAAATAGCAATGAATTCCAAAGGCAGCCCTGAAGAAATGGGAACAATCTCCATACCAACACAGGAAGATGTCAACAGATTGAAAGCCGACAGGTTTTATGTTGGACCAGTAAAATTGCAACAAAAAGACCCACAGCAAGAAGAAAAGAAAGAGAAAAAAAGAAAAATAAAACTATTTAAGAAAGGCATCTTGAATCTACCACCCAAAAAGACACCCGAGATAAAAACAGAAAACTCAGAGAGTGTGGATAATGGTGATAGGGAGGTTATTGGGTATGTTAAGCATGGTGGATTTTCACTAAGCAGCGGGCAGGGTGCTGGGAAGGGATTCTGTTCTGTGCTAGGATTAGAAAAACTTCATCAATCTCTACCTGATCAAAAGAATCTTGTTTTAATTAGAAATCCCAGAACACTGCAGTACAGATTTGCTCGGATATCCATATAACGGATATGCAGTTTTTAGTTGTGATAACATGAGATACCACCAAGATTGTGTTCATTGTTATCAAAATCTGTTGTGAATTATGTTTGTTCATGAATTAAAATCATCATTATCAGAATCTTGTAGGTTTTATACTCTATATATAAATGCACAGAAAATCTATTATATGTCCTTCCTTTCTTTATATTACACTTTTCCAAACCAGTGATCCTTAAGAAGTGCAGGGATAAGAATTGACAGGCACTGCTTCCTGTAGAGTCATTGTAATTTCAGAGGGATCAATGTTTGCGGGTAGGCAAAATTTTGTTTGTTCATGGGGACATTATAATTGAATAATAATGCTGACAAAGTAACTGTTGATAGGGATACCTGTACATACCTAGATGCATAATGAACACAAGTTTAGTTCAACTTTAACCTGCACTAACACTCATCCAGAATTAGACCAGAAAATGGGGTTAGATCTAGCATCTGAAGTATGTCTGGTAGCTTTCATTCCTTACAGAAAGCATCCTTGCAAGTTTAATTTCAGTAAGGCTTACTGTTACTTTAGAATGTGCTCCAAAACATTAATTTGGTGACTCATCTGCAAAATGTAGGTCATATCTAGTATTGGACACAACTCCCTTGATGCATCAAATGCTCTTGTTCTTTGTTTATAAAGACTTCTGTAGATAGCATTTTAATACATTAACATACCAGTGGCACAATCTTTCCATAATGGAATTCCATTTAATGCATAAATATTCAACAAAACAATACTTAAAAGCAGAATATTTTTTTTATTTTTTTTTAATTTCATTCTTTCAAAACAATGTGATAATATAATGTAGATACGTATGTATGTATTCCTATCTAGTCAGAATTATTTCATTTTCCTTCATCAGATCTTTATGATTCTGGTAGATTTTTTTTCAAACTAATTAATGTTAATATTTTTACACACATATAACATGACAGAGAGAAAAACCAGTAAATGCATATGGACAGAATAAGTTATATGTTTAAAACTTCAAAGATATGTCTGGGTATCAGTGGGGAAAAAACTTAAAAGTGTGGTAGGTATTTCTGGAATGCTACTTCTAATTTAATACCAGGAGAACCTGATAGAAAAAAGACAGTCAATCCTTGTTATCTCGAACCTGATGGGACCGAGGAAAAACTTTGAGATATTGAGGGTAAAATTCTTGTTATAGAATAAGTGATTGGGACTTACAAATCACTGACACATCCATGTCATTCAAAATATCAGTTTGAGATACCGAAGTTCAACTGTATATCCTCTACAAGTTTTTTTTTAAAGATTTGTTGGTTAAAAATACCAAGTGTAGCTATGTGGGCTGTGGATATTGGTGTGTGTAGCTTAGTGGTTAGATAACTTGACTAGTGATTCGGGGGTTCCATTTCCAGTCCAACCATTTTCTTCATTCATTCCTTCTTACCTATTACATTTAGTGCCACTGTCGGGGCCTTGGTCAAGTCATATGTAATTTAATAAATCTCATCAAGGCCAATATGTTTTATAATGTCTCTGAGGTCAAAGACTGTTTTAATGGAAGAAGGAATGTAGAAAATTGGGTTATGTGGACCAGGAATATTGGCCTGAGTTTGCTCAGTTTAAGAGCACCTGACTAGTGATACTGGGGCACAGTGTTTGAATTTCAGTCTTATCATTTTTTTCCCCAATCATTCCTGCTATGAAATCTACTATACATGAACATGCTGAAACTTCCATGTTTGCAGTGCAATTTTTAACAAAGGAAAAATGAATCTTTAACTTCACATTCAACAAAAGAAAATGCCTAATTTTTTTTAAAAAGAAAACAAAAAGAAGTTTCTATAATGAGCAAAAAAAAAGTCTCACAATTTAGTCGTAAATGATATGGTATTGAGATCTGACAAATATATTGTTTTAGTATTGTTCATCTCTAACCACATCTCTTAAGACATTATTTAATACAGCATATTTATTCTTCATTGTTCTGACACAGCAGAAAAATATTTCTAAAATAAACACATACTGGCACATACATATAGAACCATACATTTTATCAAGAAAGGTTTCTCATATATGTAGTTTTAAATACAGCTGTCTCCACAAGATTTTGATATTTTGCTTCAACAATTTTAGATATTCAACCCATTATAGTTCAAGTATACAAATAAATATATAAATATGATAAATTTCTTTATCATTTTCGACTGATATCTTTGCTATATTCAGGTAATAAACTCTGATTACAATGAATATGTATACCTATTGTTTACTAAAATAGTTTTCCAACAAAATCAATTTTAAATTATTTAAACCCAGATTTATTGTAACTTTTGTATTAAATATTATATTAGTAATGTAAAATGATTAAAAAATCATACAATTTAAAATGGACAAAAATAATTAGATTTATTAATTACAATGATTTTTATTAAAACAATTCAGAGTCTAGCTTAAAGACCCAATTTTTTTACCGTACGGTTACCTGAGGAGGGGGAGTGGTCGAAGTAACATTGATGTTATTTACCTGGAGACCTCCAATACCCAAGATGTCAAAAATCTGTGTATACGTAGCAGTACACAGGAAGTCTGTGTTTGGTAATCAGGGTCATCATTACGTGTTTTGTGTCTGGTTTTGAGTGAAACTATGTAAAATAATTATTTTAATATGAAAATTATTCGTAAACTTATTGCATTTATCGTAATCATGGTAATGTTTTGAAGGAAAAAAAATAATAAGATACACGTATATCGTTTTAGAAAATGTTTTCCTTACATAAAAGAAAAAATCACGAGTAAAAACTACAAATCAATAATTTTTATCTTTTTTAATCTTCAATAAAAGAAATCACTTGATTAAAAAAGTCTGAATATTGAAATAAAAAAAATTATTAATCCACCTATCCGTCGTGCATATGAACATGCATTTACCGCGATCGGAATGTTTTTTTTTTCCCCTGGCCAACAATGTTGTCCAAAATATTCCATATTTTTTATTCTCCGTGTGTTAACAAAATTTTATTGTTAGAAAGATTTCTTTTTTCAGAATCGATCACTATTAACTATCTTCACATTTTCATTACGTATATAATTATACAGACACTATAGGAAATTCGAGCATTAATTCTGACATCAATTTCTGTACAACATCGTGCGGATTGTAGCCATAGTACAAAATAAAACATCTTTTAAAAACTATGCTATGCCGTTTATTAGTGCTGAATATTTTTCTTATATCCCATTTCTTAAAAAATAATTTAAATCGTCGGACTTCCAATTACGGCAATTAGAGCCTGTTTCTGTGGATGCAGTCTTTTTTTCTACAGGTAACGTGGACGATATAACACTTACAAGTAACAAACAGCAGTGAAGCTAGAAAAGAAATAATTTATATATATAATGTAACTGTTTTAATAATCTACTTTCAATTATTTTTTAAAATAAAATTCAAACATATTGGAGTTTTCTAACCCGCGTGTATACTATGCGGGTAAATGAAAGAGTTTGACGCGTGACCAGGTCATTGTTTTCAAAACATGCAAACTCAGATTATCAGGTAGCACAGGTACCTCACCTGTCAATCAAATCAGAAGCTATTGTTTTTTCTGTGATTGACAGGCGGTAAATTATTGATCTTGAATCAGGTAGATTTTGGGGGCGTTAACATAAAATTGGGTGTTTAAATGAAAATGCTACTTTCGAATACATGGTGAATGCTTACAGTCACATTCATTTATAACAGATGGCTATAGTAGGACCATTGTTATAAAATAAATTAACCTCCTAAATCTAGAACTATGAATAATAAACAATACACAGTATTAACAAGTTGCTGACAAGTCAATACAAATTAACTGTTCCCAATGACTCTTTTTACCACTCAAAAAATTAAATCTCTGTTTTCATATTTAATATATCTTTAGCAGATAGATTTTTGTTCAAACTTTCCTTTTACAGAGAAATGTTTACATAATGAAAAATATAATTCTACACAAAAGTAGGAAAAAGTTCTGCATGCATAATTATGACTGGATAATTACTTTAAAATACAAAAAAAAAAACATATATCAAAAATCTGCATGCTGACATCAGCCATGAATATCAGTAGGTGTCACTTGTGCACTACATGTATGTCTGTTTGTCTGCCAGTTATTGCACTCTATGATCTGTAGCACTTGAGGTATTACTATCAGTGCAAAGCCTGTCAACTTCTAGAACTATTAATATGTCACTTATGTTACATTTACAAGTCTCTTATCAACCAACCAATAAAATTTGACTAGTGGAGATCAGGATAGAACTGATTCTAGGAATTTCTTTGCATCTGCCAATTCCTGAAAAATAATAAAAGGGATTATGTACAATGTTTTGAATTCATATCAAGCCAAAGGGAAGCAATTTCAGTAAATTTTAAGGCATCTTCTATAGCCAAGGGTTTCCGATCCAAAATATACTCTACGTCATTGTAGAGAAGATTTCGGATCAGAAATCCTTGGCTAGCAGAGATGATTTGAAGGAAAAGAAGGGGGACATCCAAACTTATTTAGTTCTGATGGAGACTACCAAGCAAAAATTCCTTGACAAGCAAAATTGTACTTATTGAGGGGCACATTCATTAAGTTGCATTGTTTTCTACAGCACATATATAATACACATTATTTTAGATCCTAGCAAAATTATTGGAAGGGGAAGGTTAAAAAGTTTTGACACCATTTATATAGATTTATCTAGCAATGGACAGAAATGGCCATTAATGCACATATTCCTTTGCTATTACTTTTTATGATTTTTTTTAACATCAGTATTAATTTTCATCCTGTTCTTACCTCTGGACAAGATGTGTGAGCCATGGGATATCTGTGAAAGGAATATTTGTCACACATGGAGGCCAGGACCTTGGATGTGATTTCTCCCCACTGGAAAGGAACTAGAGGATCCTCCGTACCGTGAGCCTGGAATATGGCCATCTCTTTTATGTTATTGGACTTCTTGATCTGTAAAGAATGAAATATTTACACAAACATGGGACTAGGGACAATAGACAGTTATCATTAGGCGTGAATTTAGCAAGAGTTACTTCCCTTAAGCCTCCATATCGGAGGTCCAATGTATGAATTTTCTCTTTGAACAATTAATTTTAAATTTGCATGGCAGAAATATAATGGGGAAAAATCTTTAAAATACTAAAATAATGAATTTAAGGAAGCTTGTGTTTACATAAATTTCTAAGGAAAATTGTGAATTCTTCACCCATTCGTCCAGTTTGACAAGTTTAAAATTGTCTGAACAAAGAAGGATTTGGCCCGCAGGCTTGTTTCTATTTCTTTCAGGCAAAAAATTACAGTCTGAAAATATCTTCTTGTCAAGGTATTTTTCATCTCAAAATTAATTTTCAAAACATCAGTGAAACATCGTCGGAAACCCACGGGTAATCTCGTCTTTACTTATCACCCGTGGGTAAACTCGCCGAAAAATCGTCGTATGTAATTAAATATGCATGGGTCATTTGATTCGCGATGCAAAACAACGAATCACAGTTCACGTTACGTACGCATGTTCGGCATTGCCAAAAACATGAAAAACTCATTCTGTAGTTAACACAGCTGATAAATCCACTCATCGGTGCATTTTGCAGTTAAAAGAGGTACTCCTTCATAATATCTGATGGATATTAAAGTCAGTGACCTGTACGAATTGACTTTCATTGTTTTAAATCAAACTTCGCACATTTTAACAAGCGTCAAAATATTTACCATAAATAGAAAAGTCATAAATGTATTTTTCAAAATTGAAGAGTTCCAACTTTCTGATTGGTTGACTAAAAACAACAAATTAGCATATTTTACGGCGATATTTCAGCTAGTTTGCCAACGGGTGATAAGTAAAGACGAGTTCACCCGTGGGTTTCCGACGATGCAGTGAAACAGAGATAATTCATTCTTGTTAAGTACATCTATCAATCTGATTAAAATCAGATCCTTGTTAAATTCAGAAATTCTGATGGTCGCTTTGTTCAGAATTTCTCTTTGTAACAAAGATATGTTTTCAATCAGATTGGCACATCTATGATATGGGTCAAAATATCAAATGTTTACGAAAGTAGAGATGTTTATTTTGAAAAGGAGTAACGTAACACTTGAATGATTGCTACATGTAGTAAAGAACTGCTCAATGGATAAATGCAAAACATAAAGTGATGTCTGTTAAATACAATGTGCAACAGCCAATGTCTACAAATCTTCTAAAAAGTCCTTGGGAAGCACATTTCTGAAGTAGGCACAGCTGATAACAAATGTTACCTGATCTAACTTTCTGTGCATAGGCAGCCATGTGCTAAAGGCCAGAATTCCAGCTAGTTTTTTGTTGGTGGTCAGTGCTTGGTGTAGAGCTACAGCCCCTCCCTGGGAGAAACCACCAATCACAATCCGCTCCGCTGGAATACCCGCTTTTTCTTCTTCTTCTATTAATTTCCTTACTGCGTGAATGAACAGTGGTGAAAAAAATCACATTCACTCAGATATTATAATTACTAGTATATGTAAATGTACAGAGCTACTTTAACCATCTAAATCTTTATATGTAATTATGCACACTGGTAATAACTTCAGCAGTACCTATGTAAAACTGATGGTCCTAATGCTTATTAGAAAATATTATTATACCTCTACTGATTTTTCACTATATAAAAGTAAATCGATATATTTTGCTGATTTCCTGAAAATCACTGTGAATAAACCGATTCCCTGCAAAACAGACTGATTCCCTGCTAAAAAGTACGTTTTTTTTATGAACTGATACACACTGGAACACTTAGCATTTTCTTTAACTTACGACAAACTTAGAAATGCGAATAAACTCATGAATATTTATTAATAAATCGAAATGCATCGCGAGTCAACTGGTCCCATATCAATCAAAAAGAACCAGTACGAAACTCAAGATACGTAATGTTACTTTCAATTTTACTAAGTAAAAATGACAATTGATTTATTGATAAAAAATACATGTTTGTATTCTGTTTTGTTGTTACTTTTTAAATATTCCTGTTGGAATTAAACATTGTTACAGAATACAGTATTGAATATAATAACTTTTTCAAATGTCTTGTTTGTATCGGTATAATAAAACAAATCATTCCAGATACGTTTATTCCGAAATGATTACTACATGGCTATTGTTAAGAATTATTTACCATAATCTCTAAATCATTCCAGATACGTTTATTCCTTACTACATGGCTATTTTAAGGCTATCTTTGACAAATTCATGAATTAGTACAGTAAAAGATTCTCCAAATAAATGGCTACACTTACAAATTTCTGAGGAGGCTTTTATTCCTTCCTCGTCTTCTGGACTGTCTGGACCCAAACCAATTATATCAAACCTACAATGACATATATGCTGACATATTCACCTTAGTGAAAGGTCGTATTCACCTATAGTATTCAATCATGTTCACCTTAGTGAAAGGTAATATTCACCTTTAGTGTAACTTAATATTCACATAAAGTGTATGATCCTATTTATCCTATTTATCTAATATGTATATATAGGGCCATATTCACCTACCGTGTTTTAGGGTCATATTCACCTATAGTGTAAGGTTATATTCACCTATAGTGTAAGGTAATATTAACCTATAGTGAGGGTTTTTTATACTGAGCCAGTAAAAAAAGAGGTCTCGCTTCACAAGGATACATGTAGTTCTCAAAGTTCATAAAATGAACTGAAAAACAATTTTACCATGAACATTTTTTGATTTCTTATGTCACAGATTTTAAAACATTCATGATATAACAAATTCTTTGCAAATAGTTCTTTATTTCATTCTTTATTTCAAAGATGTTTATTAGTTCTACTTACTATCCTTGTACAGTGAAACCTGTCTAATCCGATATACACTGGGAGATGATTTTTTTGTGAGAAAAGACAGGGTGTTGGATTGTGCAGTGTAGAGAAACATGGAAAATAGTAAAATGGGAAAGAAATTTAATGTCAGAATTCACAGTGTGATGGATTGCACTGGTGTTGGTTTAGACAGTTTTCAATGTACATATATAATCAGAGGTTTAATATGAATATTCTTACCATGATGGCATTTTCATTCCAGCATTTAATGTGACTGAATTAATTGGTCTGTAATGAAAAGAATTACATATTTTACATGTTCAATTAACATACCAATCAAAAGGGTAAACACTTCAAACTTACATTACTTCAAGTTTGTAGTTTATAAGGGTCCATATAATCCCACCTACATTTGTATACCATTTACCAGGTAACTCAATTTCAGTTTCCATGACATACAGTACATGTATTAACTCATTTTTAAATATGAAATGGATATCAGTAAAAAAAAAATTAGCCTATCATCATGATCAATATGAGGAAATCATGAAAAATAAATTAATCATTGGGAAATTTATAATCAATCACCTGTTTTCCCATGGCTTATAAATTTTAATTTTCTATGTGACATACTTATTTTTGCATCAAAATCAATACTTACGCATTTGGACACACACATTTTATATGCTGTAGTTTCATGCTTCTGAAGCAGTCTGCCCACCCATGACTGGAAAAAAAACAATGAAATTTCAAAATAAGTAATTTTTGATTGATTGATTAGATCTACAACTGATAATTGCACAGTATGATTGAATATAATTAGCTATCATTGTTACGTGAAATATACACAGTACATGTAAATACTATAAACATGATAAACATTCATATTAAGGATTCATACAAATAATTAAAAAAAGGATTTTCTTTCACAGTAATTATAAAACATACTATGAATTTATCATACATAATGACTAATATCTAGAATGAATCACAATTATTCATCCCTGATTAAAACTGTTTAGAAGTGTATGAAAAAACAAATTTTATTCAGATTGATCATCTGCACATCTGTTACATGTAAAATTGTCTGTTGTCAATTCAGCAGGTGTATGGAACATAAAAACACAGGGACAGATGTGAAAGATATGTCCTTATTAACTTTTGAAAAATGTTCATCATCTACATGTATATTTCCGGATAAGATTTATATTATGTCGATTGATCATTTCTAGCTAAGCCTCTTACAAACCAGTGGTTATTTGTAGTCAGTCATCTTGGATAAGGAGGAGGTTGCCAGTTTCCTCATCTCATTACACTAAAACTCACTATTTTAATAGAGTTCATCAGATTAAGTTTCTTTATAAATATCTTATTACTTCCAAAATAACCTGCAAACCTAACCACTGAGGCTATACTACTTATCGAAAAATTGAAAGAGTGCTTGAACTTAAAATGTCATTTGAATCACCTAAGAGTTATAATATTATGCCATTTTGATCAACTTTAACTTTGATGAAATATGTTACAGAAAACTGAGTCTCAAATTGTCCATTGTGCATCATTAATTTACATTTTAAGAAATTCAAATGTTATATTTGTGGATTAAGAATTTAAGATATGGATTTGTTCTTTCCATGGCCCTATTTCACCTGTTCCTACATGTGTTTTAGAGCTTTTTGGTTCATTTGTATCATATTGTAGAGAAAGGAATTTATGACCTGATCACATGCTGTGCCCATTAACAATGGGAACTTATAGCTGTATTCATTGTAGTGTATTTGTATTAAACTAGTGAGAGAACTATCTGAAAAGCTTCTGTGAAATGTTATTAGACAGTGTGGTTAGAGCAATAAGGCTACCAGAATTAAATCGATATTGTGTAATTACAATATTTATCACAAGCTATATCATGTATATAGACATTTCAGTGGCCATCAAAACCAGAGAATAATGGCAATTCCTTGTCTCATATTCTATCTTCCTCAGTAATTGCCACTTCCCCCGGACTTCTTATTACAAAGAATCCATCGCACAAAGAATGAAAAATGAAACTTTATGGTACCTGCAACTCTCATTGTAGCAGGGCTCTAATCTCTTTGTGAACTTTAAAAAGGTCATCACGAAATTTACATTGATCGAGAATAATTAAGTTACAAAAACTGCTCTCATTTCCTGACTGAATTGGATAAACATCTAAGGATCTTCAAGTTAGTCTTTTAATTTATAAAAGTAGGAAAGGATCTTCTTTATAATATATTGACTTTATATAGAGTTTCATTAAATATTTCATTTTTTTTATATGTATATGTTACATGTGTATATTTTTGCAATGGGTTTAATTTCTAAAGCATAGCTATAGATTCTGTCCTTTCATCATGTTGTTCTTGAACTACTACTGATTCCTTAACATGTGCAAGGAAAAATTTATCAACGAGTAAAATCAGCTTTTAAATAGACAATTATATCTTACCCGGTATCTCCAAGGCCATGCAGGAATATTAACTGAAAATACATAAACATTAATCAAAAATAAGTCTATAAACAAGACACTAAGAAAACAAATACAGTGTATATGTCTTTTAGGATACTTAAAACAAACAAAATTTTGATGCAAGGATTGATCAATATATTTTTAAAAATATGAAAAATTAAAAATATGTCAATAGGACATGAATGCCCTGCCAAGGGTTCATTTGTAATGATTGAAACATTAAAAAAAAAAAATTTTTTTTGCAAGAAGTTTGACAAAAATATTTTGAATAGTTTCTTCAAACTGACTTCTTTATGCACTATAAATAGTAGGGCTGGGCAAAAATATAAATATTTCAATATATTGCAATACAAGGACAAAAAATATCGTATTGCAATACGATTCTGTAATATCGATATATTGGCAATATGATCAGATTAAGGAATTTTATCATTAAATATAAAAATTGACTTATGAAAGGTTTGTTATTAAGCCAAACAGTAAGACAGAAGCTGTTTTGTGGGAGTATTTCAGAGCATAACTGAAATGAAATCAACAAGATTTTTTTCTGTGTTGGTTACTTATCATAGTTATTTACATTCTGCATGTAAATGAAGGTAAATATAGTAGGAAATTGCCATTTTCATTACATTTAAAATACCGGTATTGCAATACATATCGCAATACAGTTAAAAATATCGCAATATATCGCAATACGAAATCTCGGGCCAATACCCAGCCCTAATAAATAGTAAAGACAAAACATTTATCGAGATTATGTCAAGAAGTAAAAAAATATAGACAGTTGGTAAATTCTTATCAAATAATATATCACTGCATAAGCTTACAAAAAATTATCTAGAGCATAGGTTCCTTGAATCCGAGATAAATACAAATATGAGAAAATTTAAGTCAGGGTCAATGAAAAGGTCAAGGACAAAACGTTGATGATGTTGAATTGTTCTTCTCAATAAGTGTCAGCATATGAAGTTTGACAAAAATTTCTTGACCCTTGTTTTTGAGACTTAGTTAAGCACATATTTGAGAAATGTGGGTCAAGATAAAAGACAAGGTCTAGGATGTTGATGCCACTGAATAGCTCTCATCAATATGCATAAATTTACATTCTTTGAATAAAATGTAATTAATGGTTTCTTTGAAATTTAACTAAACACATATTAGATGTCAAGGTTAAAGAAAACGACACGGTCAAAAAATGGTGGAGTGGTTGAATAGCTCTCATTGATATGTATAAGCATATGCTAGCTAGGTCATATTATATTTTATTCAAAATCGATTGGCCCCAACCTAATTAATGTGTCCTCTGCGGGGAGTTTTGCATCAAGTCATTAATGATGTTCCCTGCATTTGTGTTAGCCTGATAAAGGTTGTACACCTTTATTTATAGAATATGACGCAGACAGGGATACCTGGTGGAAACCTTTCGCACCTTTTCAAAGGAACCAGGAATTGCTTTGTAAAATATAGTACTCGTATCAATTTGGCGGTGAAGAGGCAGCATTTCCTGTTGCTCATTGCTCTACGAGCAATGAGTAAATTGTATCTCCCATAACTTAACAATAGATATGTCATTAAAAGCAGAGTTCCAATACTTTGTCATTTATTAAGTCTAAGAACTGAGTAGACTAATTATAAATAAAATGAAATAAATGAAAATGTATCACAAGCCTGTGCACTGACAAAAAATCAAAGACACACTGATTAAGTAAAATCATAAAAAGAGATCTAAACGGTTAACCACCCTTCAATACACATGACCTGTTTCAAGTGTCACACGGGGGACTAGTTACTTATACACTGAGAGCATGGAGAGAGCCTATACATAATGGATCTGTAAGCCTGGGGACATTTAATACTGCTACCGATTGTCATTGAATAACCGTGACAAGAAAACTGAACTTACGGTGGCGGTATGTCTCGCCTGAGCAGCTACAGTGACCGGGGGTGGCATGTCTTGTGATGCACTATTTCCCATACACTGCCCAGATATTTACGTTAGATAAATAGACGGTAAAATCCCTCTTTCACCGGATGTGGAATATGTAAATAATGTGCGCATGCACAAATATTTAAGATTATAAACATGAAAAACGATGTGGAAAAATTTAGTGATAAACTGTGCCTATCTGTGTGTATGATGTGCAAAATTGTTTCATGATAGTTTTATTACATATAAAAATGATCAAAAGTTAAAATATACATATTTGTTTTTTACGGACTTTGAAATAATATATTTTTGCGTTTTGACAATTTCTATGCTTGATTCTTTTTTTTAAATCTACCTTGCTAAGGTTCAGTGGCTGGAAGAATGAGATAATGGAAATCCATGATAATTTGGAGCCTTCAAAGAATGTATCTGGTGATTCTCTTTCCTCAACAAGATATACACAGGTTTGTTCATTTTAAAGAACAAAATATTTAAGCGCATTAAAGCTTAATTTTAATAATAACTCGCGTGTTTTGATGCAATCTCATTCTGTACAGATGTAAACCAAAGGCACTTTTGAGTCATGTAAGACTGAAATAAATAGCATACTTTATAGCTGAACAGTTTTAAAATATCATAGCTAAGCAATTCATTATGAGGTAACAATTCTTAACATTGTTGGACAGAAAAGTATAGTCTCTGTTAGAATATAAACCTTGTGAATTTACTCTCACTGTCTGACTATTTTAATTGTAACAGGATGGACAGTAATTTTAAAATGACATTCATCACAAAGGAAAGTAAAATTGTGAATTTTGCAACATTGTTTAAGTTTCTGTTTTTTTATTATTTTTTTTCCCCCACAAGATCAGGGATGTATATACTAAAGGTTTAGGCAACTGTCACAAGTCTTGTAATATATATCGTAAGTTGCGAGATTTTGTAAGTCAGTTTTATATTAAATCATACCTTATGCTATCAAATATTTCAGATTAAAACCTTAATTTATCTATCAAAAAATTAGTCTAGATTTATAATGAGCACTGTTTAAGTGTTTTAATATACACCTTTTCTCAGTAATAATTTAGCTGCAGAACTGTAGTTCTCTGCTTGTGAAAATTCGGACAGATAAAGCAGAGAGCTACAGATCCAAGTGTTGTACAAACCTTCGATTTATGCCGACGATTTTTTATCACTTACTTCAGGTATTTTTTCTTGTATTTTATACTTTCCTCAGCTTTAAAAAAAAAGGGTATATAATAATTAAACATACATTTAACTTCAATAGACCAATCCACACTTTACAAAAGTTGTTTCCCTTGGCGGGGTCAACCAAAAGGTGAAAAGAGAAAGAAACAACATTTCTCCTCTTTATGCTGCCAAACATTTGGGTGGGCTGTGATGAATATACTGTGTTTAAACTGTTTTCTTTGGATGTGTGGGTAGCCCCAACATGGGGCAATCAGTATACACTATGCAACAATTTTTCCCTGTCAAATGACAAAGTTACAAAACTGAAAACTACAAAGGGTACTGTGAGGATTCTATGGATTTATCCCCTAAGATGGCGGCCAAGGGACATAACTTTTGAAAAGTGTGGATTCAACTCTTCCTGATAATTTACTTACCTTTCAACGCTAACAAATGGCTATTTGTGGTTACGGACGTTGAAATGGAACTCTTTTAAACCAACATTACAAAACTATTTCCAGGACTGTTTCAGACCGTTAAAAGGTAAATAAAGTATCAAAATCAAGAGTTAAATTTATGATTAATTATAGGATACCATTCTAAAAGCCAGAAAAAGCTTAAACTACACTACACCTAAAGTAGCGACAAAAAATCGTAGGTTTTTATAACGCTTGGATCTGTAGCTCTCTGAATTTTCTCAAGCAGAGAGCTACAGTTCTGCAGCTAAGTAATAAGTTAGTTTATTTCAAAATCAGCACATGTCCCTGATCAGCCATATTTTGGGAAAATTTGTTGATTTTGGTGTTTGTTTGAATTATATCTAAATTATAACATGTTGACAGTGCAACTGTTGGGGCAAGCACAGATGCTTTTTCAGTTTTAATCAAGATCAGGCTCGTCAAACAGCATGTGACATTTGGTGTGTCTAGCTCTTTTCCCCCTAATGCATTACATCCTTTACCCCCTGATGCCACCATTTGACGCTATGCCCCATTTCCCTGATGCCACCATTTGACGCATACACACAACAAGCCTAAATTTTGTGATTTCCCCTGTCTCTAAATAAATTCAGCTCTAAATGATAGCCAATCATGTGTATTACACATAGGTAATGAAAACAGCTTGGTGTGAATTCATTGAGATTTACCTGTGTGAAAACTGCACCCCGTCTGTTTAGAAATTGGGCCTTGTCACAAGCAAAATTCAGCCTTAATATTGCATTTTATATCTCTGGATTGTATTAGCATTCACAATGTTTTTACATCAGTTCTTAAGTTGAATTTAATAGAAATAAAATTTTACAATGAAAATTAGAGGAAGAACAAAGACAAGAACAACAATCGTATTTATGCATTTTATGGTACTAAATAATCTACTTTCAGCATTTTTTTTTCCTCTAGGGCATTGATTTAGATAAAAACATGTATTAATTTATTTTCCTCAAGACTTTTGAAGTGGATAAATATATAAAATATTTATAAACATGCCCTTGAACATGATTGTGAAGTTTATTTCATTTTTACCTATCATTATTAATCTATCAAAAAATTAAACAAAAATGTGAGCCTTTTAATTGGTTTGGTATTATATTTTAGGTTTACTGGTATATTTTATAGAAAATTTCTCTCATAGAAAGGATAATAAAAAGATGAGTTGTAAAAAATTCATTTTACCTGGTTTCACCTATATATTGTTAATTGTAGATTTATCTGATTAATTATTCTTAGAAAATTATATGACAATACTAAAGTTCAATTAATTCCTCAAACATTGATACATAATATGTGCCACTTTGATGATGTTTAGGTACTTAATTACCATGTTCTAAATGTAATGGTCAGTCATTTCAAGCCAGTCAAAATGGCTTCAGGGGGCAGCCAGATAAACACTCTAGGGAAATCACAAGTGCGTCAAATGGTGGCAACAGGGGGAAAAGAGCTAGACTGAGATGTCATATGACATAGTGTGTAAGTTGCGTTACCATAGTTCAGAGCTCGCAGAGTGAGCAGTGCTTCATGCTGCTTGCTGCGCTTGCTATTATTATAATGTATGCATTAAAATTTATTAAATATACATTAAAACATGCAAAGAGAACGCATTACATTCATCAGAAAACAGGCATACATGCCAACTTTTGAAAATTCCCATGGGGGATTTTGCGCGTGTCGACAATTTTCAAAGCTTTAAATTCGCGACATTTTGTCGTGAACCTGAATCTAATTGTGTTTTCACTGATATCTATATCATTATTTATTATACATAATACATGTTCCTCATTTGAACATTTTTCTTCTGATTTCTTTCATATCATTCAATGCACCTACCAACATAAGTCTGAATCTGATTCAGCAACCAAAACAATGTATAGTTTCAACAATTTAATAACAAATTTAAGAAAAATACAGTGGCACATGAAACATGAAAACAAATTGCATTGTTAAAATCTGGTTAAAAATAGCTACTATTATAATTCAAGCAAATAAAATGTTACAAACTAAAAGAACATCATGTACATGTAGTTATTACTAGTACCTTGTACAGTTTCAACAATTTAAAAATTATAAATAATATATATTATAAATTATAAAACATTATATTAACAAATTAACAAATCATGATTTAATATTGAAACGTACACAAAAACCTGCTGTACGAGATGTACGTATATGATAGGCTTGCCAAGCAGATTTTAAAATGAAATTCTGGGATCAAAATCATTACATATTTCTCTTCTGTTACCTTTTAATAAAGCAAAAATACATTGTATTTGAAAATTTCCAACATCCATGATTTTTTAAAAATAATTGAAGTTTGCCATTTTTATGCCTACAATTCTTTTTTTAGAGGCAAAATGTCACCTTCATTTTCACACCTTTCCATAACTGAGAAAAAAATTTTTTTGGTACAAAACTCAAGTCAAATGATAAAATAACAAGATGCAATGTGAATTTTTCAACAAAAAACTTTTATTTCTTAATTAACAAATTAAAATGTTGACAGTGCATTTACTTGGTTGTTTTGCTCAGTGTCTGAAAATAAAAATATTTTTTTGTATTTAGATGCTATTATAAGTTAATTAATACACAGGAAAACTCAGCAAGACTTTAAAAAATTGTTACCTTCAAAAATTAACAGGGAACAGTATTAATGTTGTCTGTAGAACCATGCGGGTTCCATGAAAAATCTTTTCCAAGTACCTACTAGCATGTCTGAAATAAAGCACAGGACATGAAAATTAGCTAATGCTTCTAAATAAACCTTTAAAATAACTTAAATGATTTAATGACTTTAATGAGTTTAAAAAATTAATCATTATAATTATATATACATACATACATACATTATATATATATCATATGAATACATGTATATCAGTTCTGCTTTAGTGAAATTAAAATGGTTAATTGCTCTTTGTTTAAGTGATGAAGTGTAAATGCAGTTATTATTTAACACCTTAAAACACCTACCATTAATCACGCATGTGTGTTACGTTTTGGGTATGAATTTAACATATGACTATAAATGCAGTATAACATGATTTCGAATTTTCTCTGTTGTCATTTTTGCAAAACCATGTAATATTCATTAAAGCCACTCTATACTATTACAGTTTTAATAGCATGAAAAACAAGTTCATTGTCAATTTAAACAGATAAGAAATATTTTGGAAGTTAATAAAGGCTGAAATGATTGCGAAAGTGATGCTTGCAATAGCCGCCATTGCTGAACGAAAAAGGCCATTTTTAAATTTTCGTTAAAATGTAGTCATTGTCTTGCATGTACTATCTGTTTTTTATTATAACTACAACAAGAAGCATAAATGCAAATTATAAGCATGGGTGCCTTATTTGTAATTATGAGAGTTTAAACACACTCACCGTTCACATTTTCGGTTTTTTTCGTTGTAACATGTGCTTTACGGTCTTTCCAGCTAAAGGCATGTGGAGGAAATTTCTTAAAATAGTTCCGTAGTTATTCGGAACAAGCATTCATTTAGAAATGTAAAAGACAACCACCCTCGATGTCAAAATGTGCATGATGACACATAAAAATCAGCATTACGTCCCTTTGCGTTAGCAAGCCTATATATGATCAAAAATGTTATGATCCCAATATTACACACAGATAGGCACATGAAATTTATTTTCAAGGATGGCTAACTCAATATTGCTCTAATGACAACGTAAAACATGCTTATGGACAACTGGTGAACACAAATTGTTAATTGGTTATTCGTCCTCCCGCATGAGAATTTGGATGCAATTCTGCTGTCAGGGAACATCGTTTTACAAAGCTTGGTAAAGCACCACAAGAAACGGGAGGTTATGCTGTGCCACAAAATTGGCAAACAAAACCTCGGCACGTATCACATCTACAATATTGAACAAAGAATTTAGATTTTTTTTTTAAATATAAAATTAATTCAAAGTTAATGCATGTAAATTGTTCATTATCACAGAGATAATATATCTGTCAACTTACCCTCATCTTGGTCGAGTTTTGAACTGGTGAAGAAGTTTCTGGCAGACGGTGTCGAATTTTCTTCAAAGTATTTTGGTGCAGGGCTGTGTTCAATGCTTTGTCACTTATTATTCACCATGGTCAACCCTGAAGTCTCTGTGCACACTCTGCAGTATGCATGAGCCTGTCCTTGTTTTGACTTCGCCAACCATCCGGATGATTTTTCTCCCATTTTTACAGGGATTTTTGATCTACTCTTTTATTTTGTGATTTTGAATCGATATGCGAGATTCCCATAATCTCCACCAGAAAAATAGCATTAATTGTTATCAAAACATGGTACATGCTCATAATTGACGGAGTAATTCACAGTACACACATGTATCCTGATAGGTAAATTACACGGTGTGTCACGAACCGGGAAATTTCATTGGTTGATAATCAAAGTCACTGTGACCGATTTAATTTCGGAAAATCGGAAATTTTTAAAAAAAATGGTCAAATCGGGAAGTAATTTTGCTTTCACGATTTTAAATTTCATAATCCTAAAAAATGTAAAAGGTTTTTAGTTGAATATCTACATGTGGTTTAAAAAGTCTTGTGTGTGACGTTTTGGATTAATAAATAATATGGCGTAAAATCCTGTTAGTGGGTTTTTTATCAGTACCAACTTTCAATATACCATTGGTGCAATAATTGGTACCAACTGTAACAAATGTTAATGATATTGGCATAAAAATGTAACAATTTTACCAATGTTACCAATGGGAGTCCAATGGAAACGTTGGTAATACTGAATTACAGATTTCTTTGTCTTCTAAGTCATTGGCACATTCCAGAATCGCAAGAAAATCATAGCAGATCATCAGAAAGAAACCACATCAGAATCACATTAGTTGCCTTTATGGAGTTTTATATAATCCATTTAATGGATCATGTAATCATACTTCAAAACCATAAATTTAATTGTTTGATATGATTTTTATGTGATTTTGGCATGGTTTGTTAATAAGGCTTAGAGGAAAAAGTTTATATCATTGTGAATCCTTATAGTCTTTTAGCTTGTGTTAATTAAGCTGTGACGTCATTTACCAACATAACCACACTGTAGACTGTCTCAGAAAAATATATCTTGGCAAAAAACATTGGTACCAGTGGCAAACCAATGTAATTAAAACAAATTGCAACTTTTGTTACCAACGGTATGATTAAAACTGAGATGTATGATTCATTGTGTACAGTAATATAAAGAAAATTAATTATACATGTGACGTACTTTTTTCATTGAAAAAAAAAATTACATTTCAATTTTTATATATTTGCAACAAATTACATTTATATTGAGTATCTCAAACTTAGAATTTTATACATCTAAAGAATAATTGATTTTTGCCATAATAAATAAATTGCTAGATTTCATCCGAACTTTTTTATTAGACTGTAGCATTTCCATTTTTTATTTTTTATTTTTTAAAATATGCCAATCGGTGTAAACAATTTAAAGCATAGTAAAGGTGGATATCTCTTACTTCACATCATCACTAACACAGCCTTGTTTAAAATATATATGCATGTATTACAGCAATTAATCCTGTCAAAATCATGTCGACTGTAAGTCTCTTAGAGATGTATGTACAATATTTTAAGCATGATAAGAAATGGAAATTAGATCATTGAAATCTGTGTCAATCTGTTAATCAAGAAAAAACAGAAATAAAAAAATTGATTTTCTTGCACCCTAACCAATTTATGATTATCGAAAAAAACATTTTTTTGTACATGTAGTCACTTGTAGTCATGTAAGTAGTATGAGTATTTACACAAATTATCATGCAAATTATAAGCATGTCAGAACCTGTATTTGTAATACTTCATTGTTTTTTAACAATATTTCTGCTAGCCATTGGCACCTACATTTCTTTGAAAAACCCAGCGGGTATTCGTATGTATGAATACAGAGATATGCACATGAAATTTATTTTCAAACTATCAAACTACTCATAGTACTACAGTAAAACATGCTTATACTAGTGAACACAAAGTTAATTATTGGAAAATAATGCATTGATTTTTTTTTCTAATATAGAAGTACAGTCACATGAAAAATGCCGAGAAGACCACACAAGTCCATTACACCAAGGATCCACTGTGGTGGATCGGGATTCTGCTGATGGTGGTGGGGGAGATTGGGAATTTCTCAGCATATGGATTTTCACCCGCATCACTCGTAGCTCCCTTAGGAACAACAACAGTTGTGGGTTTGTAGCGATGCCTTGTTTTTTGCATCGTCAGAAACCCACCTGAGTACGTTTCATTCCTCTCTCCATCGTGATGGAGAGAGGAACGAAGCATAATCAGCTGTGGGTTTCTGACGATGTGTTTTTTGTGTCTCTCAACATTTTTATTCTGAATCAGTAAGAGCAGTATATTGTACATGTGCTACACTTTGCTGTCAATTGTTCAGGTTTAAAGCTTCTACAGAATATTGAAGACGTTAAGTATTGTTAAGTCATTCTGTATTTCTTTGCAGCTAATATGTTCTTGGCAGCCTTGTTTTTAAAAGAGAAAATAAAAGCTGAGCATTTGTTTGGTAGGTGTTTTGTGAAGTATATTGTTTAATCTGCAACGTTATAATTTTTTAACATATGCCAAAGCAATTATTCAGGCTTGTAGCATATTATGAATGAAGGTTTCTTGGCTGTTCAATAAAAGGTTACATTTTAGTTTGTTTAAATCTACTTGTAGGCAAGGAATATTTTACCATTTGTGTAGGGATGGCTGATCTCATAACATCTTTTTGTATTTAAAAATAAATCAATTTTGAAGAAACAAAGAAACACAGAAACATCACATTGTTATTTGTAGTGTCATAGTAACATGATAAATACTGTATGTATATAAATATATACATTTAATTTATGAAATACGTACATAAATTGACATCTTCAAAATTTAACACAATCACTGCATATTGAATGATTGCCATAATCATTTATTAGTGTTTCACACATCAGTCTGCTCCATGCATTGTATTAACAGTAATCTTGAATTAGCACTTTGTTTTTCATGACAAAGCCACTAATAAAAAAATAAAGCTTGCTTTTTAAAGTACACATACAGTATGAGGTTTTCTGTGTGATAGCTTTTAGAGTCGTATACATGTAACACTTTATGCTTTCATCACTTTCATCATAGGGTCTGCTTTAGCTGTTATTGGAGCTTTCCTGCTGATTGCCTTCTCAGCTAAAGTAAGATATTTTGCTTCCATAAAAAATAGCTGTAATATGTGTAGTTTGGAATTTGGAGGTGCAAAGCTTGTCAGCTGATAAGAAACTGATAATAGTCAAGTGCCTAATATTTATAAAGTTCTGTGGGCCTTATTTTGATAGTTGCACTAATAAGTAATACCGGTAAATTGAGAAAAAAGCAATAACAAATGCAATTCATTTCTTCCTTTTCTTCTCTGTGTGTATGATCATTTGTTAATAATGATTATGAATTCATTTTTTCCAGAATGAGAAAGTTTTAAATGGAGATGAAATAAACGAAGCTCTCACTCAGCTGTCTTTTATCATATACATAGTAAGTATTTCTAGCTCACCTGAGCTTAAAGCTCTAATGAGTTTTTCTGATCACAATCTGTTTGTCATCTGTGTTTCTATCCATCTATAAACTGTTCACATTTTTTATTTAAAAAAAAAAGAACTCTGGGCCAATTTTAACCAAACTTGACATAAACATCCTTGGATGAAGGGGATTTAAGTTTGTTCAAATAAATGACTATATCCTCTTTCAAGGGAAGATAGTTAATCGTAGTTTAAAAATTTTTAGTAAAAATTTGGTGATGTCTTATAAAAATCTTCTTCACTGGACCAGAAAGGTTGAAACATACATAAAACCATGTCTTCTTCTTAATGACATACTTGTGGCTATAAGCACTATATTTCCAAAGATATTAGTAACTAATATGGTATGAAAACAGAGTATATTTAAAATATATGTTATTCTTTTTCAGTGTGTTGAACTCGTAATTCTAGGAATATTGTTCTTCCTTCTCTACTTCAAGGAAATGAAGAAAGTGATCATTTATTTACTCATTTCTTCAATTGTTGGTAAGCCTATCAATTTGCCAGTACATGTAGTATAAAGCACAACGATATAAATTTTCAAGGTAGCTGTCTTAATATATCTATTTTATTTATATGTCTCTATATAGTCTATATAGTATATAACAACTATACATACATGTTTTGTTGATTTTTAAGTAAAGGTTTTCCAGCTCAGAATCTTGGGATATATACTCAGCTTTTTTTTATTTGTTTCAGCCTCATTCACTGTTATAGCAGCAAAAGCAGTGTCCAGTATGTTACAGATAACCTTTGATGGCTTTTCTCAGATGTCCTACCCCATTCTCTATATAATGCTGATTGTCATGGTTGTCACTGCTATTACACAGGTTAAGTAAGTGTGTGCTGATAATAGAAGGGGGTATTAGTCTGTAATGCATCATCTTTCATGTAGGAATAAAAAGGGACATTTTTTGTGTCAAATAAAATTCTTACTAAAAATGAAATGAAATTGAGAACTGTAAAAAAAAAAAAAGATGTGTTTGAATTGTCAAAAAATTTCATTTTTCCATGCACAGGTTTCTAAATGAAGCAATGAAAGCCTTTGATTCCACAGTGGTAGTGCCTACAAATTTTGTCTTCTTTACAATAAGTGCAATAGTAGCTGGTAAGAATTCAATAAAATATAACTTATAAACTTTATTTTTTATCCAAACTACACAAAGTACTATAAACCAACTATTTTTCGCAACATCTTTTATTTGCGATTCTTTGATTTAGAAGCCAAACTTATTACTATTGTGATGAAGACAGCATTCTACATAAATAGCTGAATAATTGGTAGCTGCAGATCTGTAGCTCTCCGAAAAAAAATATATTGATACACCGGAGAGCTACAGTGCCACCCATTGAAAAACCTGTATATTTATTGCGCACAAAAAAGTGCGCTCGGTTCTCGATTTATTTCTCCATGTTTTTAAAAATGTAATCTCAAAATATTACTAACCGTGTGTTCCTAACATATTCTTTCGCTGTTTCCACAACCAAACTTTTCTCATAATTGTTGTTAATAGTCCTCCTGACCCTGATATTGTAATCATCGAACAGTTCGCTTATTTATACTGCCATTTTGGTTTCAAAGATAATTCGGTCCAATATGCTTCGTTCGGATGTCAACTACAAGAGTACTTGATAGAAGATAAAGGAATTTTTTGAAATCTTTCCTTATTTGCAATTGAGGTAAGAATTTGGAAGAATTAATTAAGAACCGAGCGCACTTTTTTGTGCGCAATAAATATACAGTTTTTTCAATGGGTGGCACTGTAGCTCTCCGGTCTATCAATATATATTTTTTCGGAGAGGTACAGGTCTGCAGCTAAATAATTGGATAACAATTAGAAATATTCACAAGTAAAAGAAGCTGCGGAGGCCACAGATATTTCTTCCTTGTGAATGAAAGTTGGTTTACAGTAAGCAAAATCAACTTTTAGCTCATCTGAGTCCACAGATGAAGTGATCTGTTCATATTAAAAATTTTATGGGCCCAGCATAAAATTCTTGAGCCCTACAGGAATCACATTGTCAGTCTGTTCCTCTGTCTGTCGACCTGTCTGTCAACACTTTCGTTCCTATACACTTATAAAAATTACATTTGCTTTAAGGTCAGACGAGACGTTCCTCAAGATCCGTTTTGTATATCTTCGTAATGTATGAAAAATATTCAAAATTTTAATAACATTCTGATTTCTAAACTAGTTTGTAAACGTTTTTAAAAAATCCAAACACTTAAACATTTGAAATTGGAAAATTATTTTTCATCCCCAAAGGATTACCGTAAATCTGGAAATTTTTGCTGTAGATAAATTTTTATCAAATTTGCGAGTTCATTGCATTCGCAAAAATATTTTTCTTAAAAATAAATTACCAATAAGAAAATGTAAACAAAGCAGTGGTAAATCGCAAAATTTTGAAACGTAAAAATTAATCAACACCATTTTGACCCGAATTCGCAAATCAACGTAAAAATTTCCAGATTTACGGTATATAAGAAAAAACTACCCCTGGTATCTTGCAGAAATGCCTGGTAAGGTACCTCAATTTTTTGTGAGTAAACATGTTTAACTAGCAATACTTCAATGACAAACTCTTAGAAAAATTTATCTGTTATTAAGGAATGTCTCATCTGTCCTTAAAGGGAATCATGTACTAAGTTGAGATTGTACTTCCTAAGTATTTTTATGTGCTTGTTCCTCTGAGTAATTTTGCATTATACAAAAATAGTTTAAAATTTATGAAATGATAATAGATTGCTTAGTCTCTTTTTGTTCATGGGACTTTATTTCGAGGTATTAAACATGACTACATTTATTGTTGATTTTTCGCAGACATTTCATTTATAGAAAAAACAACCTTGTTTTTACAGGGATAGCTTTCTACAAGGAATTCTGGGGAATGAATGCCCTGGAGGTATTCATGTTTCTTATAGGGTAAGCATTAAATTAGCATTTTATACCGTATAAGAAGAATTTTTGGAGGGGTTTTAATTTTGGCATTATTAGTGAGGGTGCCAAGATTGCTAAAAATGAATATCGCTAAAAATTAATTGTGTTTTATTTGTAATGGCTTCTTTAATGAGCTTTTTAAAATCACTTAAACTACATATTGCTAAAAATAAAATACCAATTTTTAAGGACAAATTGCTAAATTTGCGTCTCGCTAAAATTTTCAGTTATATGGTAGTTATGCATATAATATGAAACACACACACACAAGCATGATGGATCTCTTATAATAATGAAAATCTTAAAAGTTAAATCATGCAATGATTTTATTTAACACATGTATAATTAAATACCAGGAAATATATTTATATATATTTATCAGGTGCTTTTTATCATTCGTTGGTGTTTATTTCATCACGCTGGGGAAGATGTCTGCTGCCAATAATTCAGATGAAGTCTGTGAGCCTTCCTCCTCCACAGAATACGTCCAACAGATTTCTCCAGGCATCTTTCCTTGTAAGTTTCAGTTTATCAAGCTTTCCTTGTAAGTTTCAGTTTATCAAGCAGAATAGAAAAAGGTTTTATAATTGACTTCTTCAATTTTTTAATTGTTTTAAACAAATTAAGAAAAGAAAGGAAAAAAAAATGTTCAATTTTGACAAGAAAACTAATAAAATTTTTAAAACTTTACCTTTTTAATAAAATTTTGTAAATTTTTCCTCCACACAGATGAATTGATGTTGTAAGATTGAGAGAGGAAAAAAAATCCTGTTATGACTTATCATTGTCATTTTCATTGCAGCATGGCTTTTGGCAACAGTAAATGTGGGTGAAGTTCAACCCAAAGGGGAAGTAACTCATTTATCTGACTCCGATAGGGCACCTTTCTTTCAATCCAAGACAGGCACAGACAGTTTTACATCACAAGACACCATCAGCAGTTCCACAAGCTCACCTGTTCACCCAGGAGGTGGTGCACAGGCTAATTATGGGGCCACAGGGCAATGAGGTGTACAGGCTAACTATGGGGCCACAGGGCAATGAATTCCAGCTATAGCAAACCAAAAGTCCATATGTGTATTTGAATCTCGCATTTTATTTAATGCGCTGAGTATTATCTTGTCAGCATGTATTGTTGATTTGTTAACATTAATGTTTTTAGCTCACCTCAACGAAGTTGGGGGGAGCTTATGTGATACCCTCGGCGTCGGCGTCGGCGTCGGTGTCGGCGTCGGTGTCGGCGTCGGCGTCCCGGGTTAAGGTTAAGTTTTTTGGAGCAGTTTTCTTTTTAAGTACTTCTATGTCCTATATTGATTAGACATGCATGGAAGATGTTTCTAATGTGTTTCATTGTACCAGTCAAAGGTTCAGATGCTGCAATTTCAGCAAAGGAATGACCTGGTTAATGTTTTTGGTGCAAGTTAACATTTTTGGTGCAGTTTTTGATGTAGGTCTCATTTCCGAGTAACTATAAGCCCTATGTTGACCAAACTTACATGGATGGTACATCTTAGGATGCATACTACCAGACTTGCTTCGGATGCAGAATCTGACCTACATTTTCCGGTTGAGTGAACAGGTTAAAGTTTTTGGTGCAGGTTTCTTTTCAAAGATACTATGAGCCCTATAATGACCAAACTTGCATGGATGGTACATCTTAGGATGCATTCTACTAGACTTACTTCGGATGCTGAATCTGACCTACATTTTCTGGTTGAGTGAACAGGTTAAAGTTTTTGGTGCAGGTTTCATTTCCAAGTTTCTATGAGACATATAATGACCAAACTTGCATGGATGGTACATCTTAGGGATGCATACTACCAGTCTTGCTTCGGATTCTGAATCTGACCTACATTTTCCGGTTGAGTGAACAGGTTAAAGTTTTTGGTGCAGGTTTCATTTCCAAGTTACTATGAGACATATAATGACCAAACTTGCATCGATGGTACATCTTAGGGATGCATACTACCAGTCTTGCTTCGGATTCTGAATCTGACCTACATTTTCCGGTTGAGTGAACAGGTTAAAGTTTTTGGTGCAGGTACACACCATTTCCAAGTTACTATGAGACATATAATGACCAAACTTGCATCGATGGTACATCTTAGGATGCATATTACAAGACTTGCTTCGGATGCTGAATCTGACCTACATTTTCCGGTTGAGTGAACAGGTTAAAATTTTTGGTGCAGGTTTCATTTCCAAGGTACTATGAACCCTATAATGACTAAAGTTGCCTGGATGGTACATCTTAGGATGCATACTACCAGACTTGCTTCGGATGCTGAATCTGACCTACATTTTGTGGACGAGTAAACAGGTTAAAATTTATGGTGCAGGATTCATTTAGTAACTTTGAGCCCTATAATGATCAAACTTGCATGGATGGTACATCTAAGGGTGCATTCTACTAGGCTGGCTTCAGAAGCTGAATCTGACCTACATTTTCTGGATTAGTGAAAAGGTTAGTTTTTTATACAGGTTTCATTTCCAAGTAACTTTGAGCTCTATGTTGAACAAACTTGCATGGATGATACATCTTAGGATGCACACTAATGGACTTGCTTCAGATGCTGAATTCGACATACATTTTCCAGATAATAGACCTTGTAAAAGTTATGGGTGCAGGTCTATCACCAAGAAACTATACCAAAGTTGCACAAATGATGCATCAAGGGATGAAAACTCTCAATCTTGCTTCAGATGCTGGATTTTAATTACATTTTCATGATGAAGAACTAGTTTTAAGTTTTTATATAGGTCTATTCCAAGGTATCAAAATTGCATAAATTTTGCATTTTTGGATGTACACTTTTTGTTGGTTAATTGTGTGACTTAATTTGCCTTACTTAAAGACAACATTCGTTGAGGTGAGCTCTGTAATCTCTGATTACCTATGTTTTATGTCAGCTGATTGCTAGTATTGTAATTAAACGCACCTGTATACATGAATATTTTTTTAAATTAAGTTGTCTGTTTGTATTGTGATAGACAGTATTGCTTGTATCATACACATCTAATCCATACAGGTACATGTGCATTTATTTGAAGGTTTGAAGATTTATATGTTCACAAAACAAAAGACCTCTTTTTTCTGTTCTCCTATCCCCCTTTCCATTACTGAATGACATGAGTATGTCCCATTTTAAGATCCATGTATGGAGTAATTAAGCAATTCAGTAAGGTTTATTTACCTAATGTTGTGTACATTGTATTGAAATATTTTATGTTAATATAAGGGGATATTATATTGTCAGATTTATATATATATTAATTCAAGTATTATGAAGTATGTAGGCATATCTGTAGTTTAGATTGATTGCTTTTGAGGGAAATGAACTTGGACTTGATTTTCAAACTGACATTCATTTTGCATGACATGTATTGCAGTATTATTCCAACTACATGTACACAAATATGCGTCCCATTTATGTATAATGTACCAGTTATGTAGATATTTTTTGAATCTGTGTAATATTTATTTCCTCTGAACCTAAATATTAGAATTTATTTGTTTCTAAAAAAAACAGTTATTGTTGCAACTTTATCCTGTATTTGTATATGGGACAATCTTTTTATAATTATATAATGTGGTACCATCCTTCCAATTTTTTATTAGGTTACCATACACACACATAGGTGTCCATAACAAAATGACCGTGAGATTATTTTTATAAGAGTTTTTTATTCAGAAGGTAATGCCAGCTTAGTAAAATGAATTCCGATATTGTACATATAATACAAAATATTGATTTTCAATTGTACAATTTTAAAGCTCAGACTGAAAAAAAAGTTGAAGACATTAGTTTTATATTTTGTGTACAAAATTACTCAAGAAGTGTAAAAACATTAATTAATGGATTATTCAATAACGATAATTTCTGAATTGTCATTTTATTGTCACTATTTATATGATTAAATGAATTTTGAATCATTTTGAGATCCTTTGAGGCATACATTGAATTTAAATCATAGTTTGTTGTACATATATAATCAAAGTACTTTTGTACTTAATTTAATTAAGTGCATAGTAATCCTAGTAAAGGTTGTACTTAGTTATCTCAAACATGGATATCTTGAATATTATGAATATGCTGAAGACACTTGAAAGTCCCAACAATTCTTACTTTATGCATTGTAATCTTATTGAATCTCTTTTTAGCTCACCTCGACAAAGTCTAGTTAAGCTCATGCTATACCTCAACGTCAGTGTTAGTGTCTGCATCCCGGTTAAAGTTTTAGGAACAGGTCCATTCCCAAGTAACTAAAAGCCTTACCCAGACCAAACTTGCATGGATGATGCATCTAGGGATGGACACTACCAAACATGCTTCGGATGCTGGATCTGACCTACAATGTACATTTTCCAGATGAGTGACCAGGTTAAAATTTTTGGAGCAGGTCCATTCCCCATTGAGCTTTAAGACCTATTTAAATAGAACTTGCTTGAACATTGTTGTCAGGATAAATACTAACTCTTAAGAAAATATGATGTGAGATTTGCATTACTTTAACTGATAATATTTGTCTAGGTTAGCTTCGTAATCTTTGATTACCTATGTTTTCAATCCCAATAAGTTCTCAATGTTAGTTTAACTACATGTTTTTTTTTTTGTTTTTTTTTTAACCAAATGTGTAATGTAAATTCATAGTTAGTTGCTAAATAAGTAAGCAATAACTTGAAGTTCAGAACTATGAAGATGTTACTGCATGCAGCATATACCATCTACTGTGTTCATATGCTATGGGTGCATCTAATATTATAAAAACATCTTTTCCTTTTTTTCCTCTGCATTATAAATATTTATTATATAAGTGAGCTAACAAATATATACAAGAACATGTATATATTAGAAATATATATGTGCATTTTGTTTTTTATTTATTTTATTACTGTTCAACTCTGCCTTTCAGAAATTGTTTTTGTTAATATCATATTTGTTTATTCATTATTTTTTTTAAAATATTTGACTCAGGTGAATTATTTGTGACATTCCATTTATCTACAAAAAAACAATTATTGATGTTGTGTTTTTGTTTTTTGTTTTTTTTGTTTTTTTTAAAGAATTTTGGTTTTTAATTTAGAAGTTTGTTGGAATGTTAATTTGTTGGTAGAGGATAGTTTCCAAAATCCATGGACGTAGGTCCAATAGAAACAATTAGGATTCCAAAGTAGGTATTTTGTGCAAATTTAAATCAGATCACTATTAAAGTTTTGGTTATGAAGGGAAAAAAAACATTTTAGTTATTTCATGTAGATACATTCATTCATACAGGTGCTTGGACATGTAATTTTGTTGAAAACTAATTGATTATATAGCAAGTATTTTAAACTTCTTTGGAAAGACTTTTTGCATAATTTTTTTGTTGGAGCATTTCCGTCCATTTTGCATATTTTTTTTTCATACAAGTGGGTAATATGTATTCAGCAATTTTTGTTTTTGTTTATCAAATATTCTAACTCTGGGCATTTTATGTAAAATGCATTCATATGTATCTTCTTATATCTTATACAATACAGTGGTATGAATAAAATTAACTTGTCTGCATATGTATGTTTTATTTTGAAATAAATATTGAAGAAGTGTAACAGACAGAGATGAATGCATGAACCTCTGCTTGGATTTGAACATGGGGCCACTGGCTTGCCAGTCTTGTGCCACTGATTAAGCTAAAATGTGAAGCTACCAGCCAAATATAGTAGGATGCCATGTATCTTTAACTAATGCAGAAACATAAGCAATAGCTAATAGTGATTAGCCCTTTCTTAACCTTCTGAAATCACTTTGTTCAAAAAATAGTTTTTACTTAGCCCACCCTCAGAACATCGGGGGTCCCAACTCCACTAAAGGTTGTGGAACCCTTGACGAACATCATTTGATTTTTATGTCAGCCACTCTGATTGGAAAGCATGATGAACCAATTTGGGCTTAGAAATTTGACAAAAAATGTTCATCCCTTTGAACACAGAACCAATATGTTGTCATATACTAGATAAAATACTCTGTCGTTAAATAATAAATGTCCCGACGACACTGTGAGGACATGTTCCATAGACACAGAGTATTCTAACTAGCCATATACCATGGTGAATAAAGCTACAATATAAAGTGAAAATTGGAGGATCAAACTGTCAACGCAACCAGATTGAATAATTCTCTAGAAAAAGTCTTTTTAAGTAAATTCAAGTATAATGAACCGACTTGATAGTTTAATAACGGTACAGCACGATACGTTTTGTTTGTTGACAGGTCCGACATCTTTTTGTCATGTGACTTAACGGTTTAATGCCAATCAAATAACAGTAAAACGGTCACGTGGTCAGCAACCACCTAGTTTACAACATGTCTGAAACTGAATCAGAGCTGGCTTTGTCCATCTATAATCCACAGAACATGCACGTGTGGACAAAGGATGTTAACTGAAGTGCATCAGTAGGTGTATGTTTCATTTATGAACACGATCGTAGATGTTTAAGTTCATTAATTTGGAAATTTGCGTACTTCCTAAATAAATTATCATTTTATCCTTTCTCTTTGTTGAGTTTTAAAAGCACAAGGTTATAAACCATGCGTCGAATATTGAAGTGTTTGTTTCAGCCGTGCATCGGTAAAATAAAGTTTTGAACTTGTTAAAGAATATTCATGCATGGCATATGGTTCTCTTATATTATTATTGACAAAGTACGTATACAAGTACTTAACATTTACAGTTCATTTAACCAAATTTATAGATCAATCAGTTATTTCAAAATCAGAACTTATTCAATGACAACACTGTTGGTCTGTGTTATCAAGCTAAACCAGACTAAACCAACTTAGATTTTAGGCTAGGTTGATCCAGTGTGTCATGTATTTTTTTTATAAAGGTTCTATCATGTTATCTTGTGTTGATAAAACAGGTACATAAAGAAGGATAATGAGTGAGTTCCGAGTGGGAGGGCTTTTGTTTACCTCCAAATTTGACTCTGGTAACTTGGCTCGAGTTGAAAAAGTCTCCAAAGATGAAGATGAGGAAGGTATATTTGTCTACAGAATTCAATCTATGAGATTGAGATTTGTATATAAATTTTTGTACATAATTAAGCAACTATTGATGATGACAAAATATATTGATTTTCAATCTAAAAACATTCTACTGTATTTATCTTTAGATAATGTCAAGTATTATGGGGAGCCCAAGGCAGATTATGAGTTTAATGTGTGGACACACCCAGACTGTCACGGCACAGAGTTTGAGAATGGAAATAGGTGAGTATTAGGGTCTCAAGGGTCAAATGACAATATGCTGGTTTCGATGGTAGATATCGGACAGCTTAGCTCAGTGTTTAGAGCACCTGACTGGTGTGAGATGGAGGGATCCCCAGCTTTTTTTTCACTCCAGTCATATTTTTTCTCCTTTCTTTTATTAAACATGCAGTAAAACTTGCTTACAGTTGAATCATGGCAGCTGAGTGTCCATGTGTCGTATATATGTGATTATTTATATGAATTCTAGCTCAGAACAACTTTCTTTTTATGTTGCAATGTTAATTTATCATAAAAGATAACTCAGATCCTAATGTAAGCAAGCAGTAAATTTCTTAACATTCCAAAATAATATGTACATTAATTAATTTGAAAACAAGTTCTGATTTATCTTTTCCAGGTCCTGGTTTTATTTTGGCATCAGGGGTTGGTCTCCAAACCGCTTAATCAAAATCAACATCATGAATCTCAATAGACAAGGAAAACTTTACAGTCAGGGCCATTGTCCATTTACAAGAACTGTTCCAGGCAAGCCAAGATGGGAGAGGATAAGAGACAGACCATCGTATGAGGTTGTTACATTGAATGTTACTGGCTAACTTTAGTAATCTTTATGTATGTAGTAGGAGAAACTGGATTTCATCTGATATTTGTTATGTTGATATTAGCTAGTAACCAGTAATCTGTATTTGAAGTAATTGTTTATTATAAATCTTTTTTACTGTGCCTGGAATTTCAGTAGTACAGATCTGCTTCTATCTTATATAATCAAACCTTTTTAATTAATCTGGACATTTTCCCTAGAAAAGTCTAAATTTTTCAAATAGATAATTGGTAGATAAACATGTTACAAATGTTTACACCCCCCACCCACCCCTTGGAGGTTCCCCGCAATGAATTAAAAATGTCTGGAAGGTAGAAATCATATTATAAAATTTTGTTTCCAAAAAATTTGTTTGGATTAATTGCATCCAAATGAATGAGCTCCACGGTAATTACCCGATAGGTCACAAACCTGCAAAGAATGATGAAGATATTGTTAACAGTCTTTGATACATTATTTAGAATGCCGATGGACAGTTTATCTTGACCTTTACATATCGTTTCCTGGATGTGAAGGCAGCCATCACTTACTTTGCCTTTTGTTACCCATGGTCCTATATGGAACAGCAAGAGAGGCTGAATGAGTATGACAAAAAATTCTCTCTCTGCAAGGAACTTAGTCCTTCCAGGTAAATATAGCAGAGTTATCACTAGAAATGTGTACATCTATTCCTAAATTACATTTTACTCACATATATATTTAAAGGCTGTTCAAAGACACTGTCAGATATTCATTTACACAGCAGAAGAAAATTTTAATTTACTGTAAATCACTTAATATTCAAGAGAACTTTATTTTTCGCGTAATTACGCGAGACAGTGTGCTCACGAAAATTTCATTCTCGCGTATAATAGTATTCCTTAGGATAATATAGAGCAAGAACCACAATTCATGAAAATTTTGTCTCGCTTATCAAGAGACAATGACTATCTTGTGAAAATAAGGTGTCACGAAAATTTAGTGATCTACAGTATTTGCGTGCCATACTGGTAAACAGTTATGAAAAACATGTGACAATGATCTACAATAAGCCGTGCTTGATTTTCATATTGATTACTTTTTTGACATCCATAAGGTGGCAAAGTTGATATATTGGGGACAGACGGTTTTGGTCACCTGTGGCCGTATAGCTCAGTTGGTAGAGCACCTGACTGAAGATTCAGGGTGCCTGCACTGGAATCCTCTAATGCGTCACATTTTCTCCTCTTTCATTACATATATTATTATACCTCTACTGATTTTTCACTATATAAAAGTAAATCGATATATTTTGCTGATTTCCTGAAAATCACCGTAAATAAACCGATTCCCTGCAAAACAGACTGATTCCCTGCAAAAAAGGTACGTTTTTTTTGGATGAACTGATACACACCTATTCGGAACGCTTGACATTTTCTTTCAACTTACGACAAACTTAAAAATGTTGCGATTTCAATAAACTCATGAATATTCATTAGTGAATGGAAATGCATCTTGGGCTGTTAATTGGGTGTTTACATAGATTACACAACTGGTCCCATATCAATCACAAAAAGAACCAGTTTACTGGAAGCGAACAACAACAGAAATGGCGTGCTCAATTTTGCGTAATGTTACTTTCGATTTTACTAGGTAAAAACTCGGACAATGAACTGATTTATTGATAAAATGAATTCCTTTCATGACTGTATTCTGTTTTTGTCGTTCTCTCTCTCTCTCTCTCTCTTCTCTCTCTCTTTTTTATAACATTGTTACTGAATACAGTATTGAATATAATTGTTTTCAAATGTCTTGTTTGTATCGGTATAATAAAACAGTTAAAGTATATCATTTCAAAGAAGGGTAAGGGAGTCAAAGAACAAGATTCCAGTTCCCCTCAACGAAAAGCCTATTTTTCCCTCGGCGCAAGCGCCTCGGGAAATAGTTATAACCTTGCTCTTGGGGAACTGGAATTTTCTGGCTATAATGATAACTGCCATACATTGGTACGTTTAAAAATATACTTTAACTGTATATTAACATCCTGCTAAACCAAAGTCAAAGCAATGTTTCATTAAGCAAATATTTGTTTTATCTGTTACAGTCCAAAGGACAGTATCTACTACCACAGAGAACTGCTGTGTTACTCAATAGACAAGTTACGCATTGATCTGGTGACCGTTAGTTCTTGTCATGGAATCAGTTCAGAAAGCGAGCCTCGTTTTGATCACAATCTGTTTCCAGAGAAAGACGTTCCCAGGTGTAAAAAGTTCAGGGGAAAAAGAGTAAGCATACAATACTTCTCTCTATAGAACAGTAAAATGAAGAAAGTATGATTGAATCAGTTTGTTACAGAATACTTCCTAAAGCTGTTCATACATTTGAATAGTATATATTAGCAGTTATCATAAATGTAGTTATTTGACAATTTATCATTAAAAAATGAAGGAATGGAACTTTTAAAAAAGAAATATAAGTTTGAAAGCATTAATCAAAAGGATATGTCTGTTAATGCATCTGTTTGTTTTAAAAAGTATTAATATTATGTCTAAAGAAATTATTGTAATTTAAGTACTTCATCTTTTCAGGTGTTCTTCCTAAGTAGTCGAGTTCACCCTGGAGAAACTCCGGCCAGTTTTGTATTTAACGGATTCTTAGAATTCATCTTAAAAGAAAATGATCCACGTGCCAAAGCTTTAAGAAGACAATATGTATTCAAATTTATCCCTATTCTGAACCCCGATGGGGTTCAAAGGGGACACTATAGAACAGATCAGAGAGGTGTGAATCTGAATAGGTTGTACTTAGATCCCAGTGTAGACCTTCATCCATCTATCTACGGTGCTAAAAGTATGTTAGTCTATCATCATGTGAAAAACAGGGTAGTACGAGAAAACGACAATGTGAACATCCGTATTAACTTTCCAGGTCACATTCTGACCTCTAGTCCAGATGTCCCAACCCCCCGAAAAGAAGTGGTGCATCATGACGCGGGGGACCTCAACAATCACAGCAAGGGGGCTGTCAATGGTGCTTATTCTGCTGGGAGGGACAAAGTTGTTCACAACGGACATGGGGATCCATTTTCGTTACCCCCTAAGGAAAACTCTTGGGTCAGTCAGACCAGTTCTCATGATGGGGGTCTAATGCCTCCTTCTGGGAGGTTGAAAATCGAGCCGTTGAATCTCGGGGATTTGGACAGAATGGACACCACATTAAGTGAATCTCGTAAACTGATGGGCAATGACAGTATTCACATGTCGTCTTCCTGTAGCAGTGTTCTCAGCAATGTGACTCTGAAAAACGAGAGGAAGACAGTTGACAGTGAACTCCGTCTGCGTCTATCAGAACTGAACATGTCTGACGATTGTCGTGGGAAAATGACAGGACTCAGCATGATGACGTCACTGAGTGTGGGACTTAACGACTCGGACATTGAGGATCTGTATAACAATGAACACCTGGGTAACGAGGGCTCGGAAGATGAGGGTGACTTTGTGCCCTCCTTTGGTAACAATGCCCCCCATCTCTCTGACCCCTCCCTACATCAGATACCTCCCTCAGACAGTGGAATAGCTTTCTATGTGGATCTACACGGGCATGCCTCTAAAAGAGGGTGCTTTATATATGGGAATTATTTTGAAGATGAAGATACTCAGGTGAGCAAATTATTCATCTGCATATCTTTTAAAGTGTCTTCAATTCAAGAAAATCAGAACTAGATTTGAATTACTGTAAATGTATTATATTTAGCGTGTACAATATTTGGGGGAAATTGACTTTTGAATAAAGACAATTCTATGAAATAGTTAATAGAAATATAATCTTCAAATTTTCTACAAAAAAAAATTTCTGCTGCAGGTAGATAATATGCTCTTTCCAAAGCTGATCTCTATGAACACTGCACATTTTGACTTCACTGGGTGTAATTTCTCTGAGAGAAACATGTATGCTAAGGATAAGCGAGATGGAATGTCCAAGGAAGGCAGTGGTCGAGTGGCTATCCACAAAGCATTAGGAATCATCCACAGGTATAATAATTCACAATTCTAATCAAAGCAGTTTGTTTGAATTACAATGCCTATTGCTATTTGAAAATACTAGAAATATTACATTAACTCTCTTTAAAGCTTTTGAAAAGATATACCAAAGAAATGTTGAAGATAAAATTGTTAGTTTCAATCCTTTTTCTTGACTGTAAGATGTCAAAATAATTAGAAATAATATCTGATTGATGGTTTTTTTCCTGTCCTTTTTTTTACCAGTAAGTCTAATTTTCCTTCACCATATACCAGTATATACAGGGTATCTGTAAATGTACTACAATGTTCTTTATTATAGCTACACCTTGGAATGTAACTACAACACGGGGAGAATGGTTAATCCCGTCCCCCCAGCCCAGGGTGATGATGGCAAGGCCACACCTCCCCCTGTTGCTGGATTCCCACCTAAATACACACAAGCTCACTATGAAGAAGTAAGTTTCAGTTGATGTTAAAAAATTTCTTTTTCTTTGTAGAATGCAATGCAGCTAGACATAAAATTTACATTATTTAAATTTTTGTTATACAATCTGTATGTTTTTCTTATCATTATAATGGTTTAATATATAAAATAGTATAATGTTTTTAAAACATAAACATGGCTGCTTCTTGAAGTTTAGTTTGAGGTTAAGTAGAATTTAATATGTGTAATTGTTCATTGAAAGAAAACCAGGCAACAATACTTGTATCATTTAAATATTTAACTAACAAGAAGAAATTTTCAACTTGAAGGTTGGTAGAGCCCTTGCCATTGCTGCAATAGATTGGAATGAGAGTAACCCCTGGTCTCGGATTGGTATGTCTGAACACAACCATCTTAATGGGGTCAAGGAGAGTGTTAGACGTTACATCAGGAGCATGAGGGGTGGGCCCAGGATCCCACGAAATCCCTCAAAAACTTACCTCAGAAACAAGTAAGTATCGGTAACTGTTTCCATATACCTATCATCACTGGTCAAAGCAAGGAAACTAGTTTCATTGATATCCTTGCTCAAGAAAACTGCTTGTACTTGTACATATTAATTTTATTGCAAAATAAGGTCTCTGTTTTCATATACCTTGTAAAAAGTTTTTATCCAGATGTAAGATGGTAAAAACCAATTTTAATTCTTATTTATTTTTAATTTTATATACATTTACAAGACATTTTCAAAATTTTATTTTGCAGTAGTGTCACCAGTAACAACAGTAATAAATCAAATGTTAACCAAAACAATCGATTACCATTTTCTCGGAACAACTCCAATGATACCAGTGGCATAAGTAATAACGGACCTGGCTCTAGATTTAACAGTGGGGCCAATAATAATAATGGGCCCAACTCCCGATACAACACCGGTTCTACTAATAATGGGCCCTCCTCCAGATTTAACAGCAGTACAAGTAATGGGGGATCAGCTTCCAGGTTTAACAAGAGGGACTCCTCCGCTAACAACCCCCCAAAGAGAGAGCTGGGACCTGTCAGGGAAGGTATGTGGGGAATATATTTGGTATTTAGGATACTGTTAATCAGCTTTTATTTATGAAAATTTTCTTTCTCTTGTAATTCAAGTATTTCTAAAGATCATGCAAAGTAATACCATAACCACAATTTTGTCTCATGAATAAAGAGTCAATGACTATCGATGATAGCTTATTTAGTATGTATTCTAAGAGAAAGAGCTTATAGCTGGTTGAATTTAATCACAGTATGTGGAATTGTACACATACTATAAAAACTGTTAAAATTGCCATATCTGCAACAATTACTGCACAAAATTTAAGTACCAAATACATTGTGTATTGACATTTTTCAAGCGGTCCTGCACTTTTAAATTCAATTCTAATTCGATTTACAGCAGCAAGACCTAATCTAAATACTCAACCACAACAGCAAAGGAAACGGCCCACACCGACAAATTACATGCCGATACAGACGTCAAGATCCACCAGTAACCAGCCGGTAACCTTAGCGATGACCACTGCAGACGTTCATTCACAGAGACAGTACTCAGCTGACAATGCCACAAAGATATTGGACGAAGAAACACTAAACCCACTCAAACATGTCAATCTTGTAAGCCATTTATTATAATGTAGAAGGACTTTATCATCCTTATATATTTGAACTATGATATCTTAAACATTGATATTTTGTCAGAATGAGTTTGGAATTCATTCCTTTTCCTTTTATTTCATCAATTTCAAGATGAGAAGGTATGGCTGTACTAACATCTAGTTATCATCTTGAAACTTACCTCAATATCTTCATATACTGGATCCATTTCCTATACCGTATAAGTGGAAATTTTAGCGAGAATCAAAATAAGCGATTTGTCCTTTAAAATTGGTAATTTATTTTTAGCGAGATGTTATTTTAGCGATTTTAAAATGTATATTGAAGAAGCTATTACAAATAAAACACAATTAATTTTAGATTTTTGTGAACCTCGCTAATAATGCCAAAATTAAATCCTCGCTAAAATTTCTACTTATACAGTATGAACCTCTGAATCGCCAAAATCACAACTCATACATGAATTAGATAGTTTCTGTTCATCATTTTAGCAATATTATGACAAAAGGAAACACCTACTTTTCTATTAATTGACATATATATTTATATTTTTTCCAGCTTGCCATAGCAAAGAAACCTGGGCCCCCTAGTCGAATACCCTTACCCACAGGTCAGCAGTTCATGCAGCTGAGCTCCCCAACAGTTGAGCTATCTCCCCCACGAGTGCCAAATCGCAGCGGTAGATACACCCAGAGAACACCCCAGCCCTACCCTGTCAGGAAAGCTAGTGCTGAGATCATCTCTTTGAACAATGACTCCCCCCTCGGTTCTCATGGGACAGGTTTGACTAGTGTGACCCCTGGGGATCTTCCTCCTACCACCCCAGGCAGTAACCACCCTCCTGCCATCCCCACCCCTCCCACAGAAATGAATGGACTGGACAATCCAAAGTAATTGATTTTCATTGAAAATGTTCATTTACTTAAATGTGAGAACATTACATATTTTTAATTCATGCAAATAATATTAAGTAAATTTCATTCACTCTTGTTTTCAAAAACATGACTAAGCATATATAATGAAATGCTTGTTTTACTGTAGTTCAATCCACATAGGAATTACCATTTCATTTCTAATGTTATTTTTGACATTTTACACTTCACAGCAGTGAAAGTGCAAAGCGTCGGCGGCGGTACATGTACATGAAGAGAAGAATGGTGAACCAGAGTCCCAAACTAGGAAGCGCCTCCAATAAAGGTCAGCCCAAGACAGGAGACACAAATAGTGAGACAGAGCGTGCTAAGAATAGACGTAGAAGGCGTAAATCCCTGCGAAAAGTTAACCAATCTCCGTCTTCAGATGAGACGGGGCAAGGTAACTCAGCTTCTGAGGGCCAGGGCACCAAACACCCTCCTCCATCACCCAGTCTCACCCTTTAAAAATATTTTCAATTTTTCGGGGTGAATCTAGAAATTATTTACCACATTGGTGTGTTTCATACTTCTTCCTGCACAATAACTGTATTATGCGGTTGTTTTGAGACTCGTTAATATTTTTTTCTAATATCCTGTCGATTTCATAAGAGTGTGCTCACTTTCTAGATCCACCTTTTTTTCCCCCAATTTCTCAAAAATTGTGATGTAGTTTTCTCACGGGTTGATGGATGTGGTGTTCTGCATGATAAAAAAAATCACTCATGATTGCATGTTCTGTTTTTGCTATCACAGTTAATCTTACTTTCTATCATTACTTGCAGTACTTCTGTCCAGGGGTGAAAAACAGCTCAATATATATCGCACAGGGTCAAAGGTTATTTTCTTTAAAATATATGTACCAAAAAAATCAGGCTTAATATAATATATGAATACATGTAGTTTGGGAACATATTGTTTTTACTCTGTTTCTTATTATTATTATTTTTTTTCTTAAACACTCAGAAACTGTTCACCCAAATAAAACCTTTTTAGGGTTAATAGGTGTGAAGTGTAGGTGTGCGGAACGAAGGTCATTTTGCGCGTGCGCCTGCACGTGCACGCGTGAAATGAGTGAATTGACTGATATACTTAATATAGCTATAACTTTTACATTTTTTGATGAAATGATTTGAAACTCATTACATAATGATATATTAATAGTGTTAATAATATGACACTGTCAAATTGAACTCACGCGCATGCACGTGCGCCCTTATTTGTGAAACAAAAATCTCAAAATCTCTTTTGTTTTCCGACGAAATGCTTTGAAATTTTTAAAATTGCCATGAATTAGGATATCCTACAATATGGAAAAATTTCATGAAATGCATGCACGTGCGCTGCAATCTGATTGGCTGAAACTTTAAATGGCTATATCTCCCCAATGCTTTGAAATTTAAAACATGAGGACATCCTGCAATTTGATATATAAAAAATTTTGTGCACGTGTGTTGCAATCTTTTCTGAAACTTTAAATGGCTATATCTCCTTTGATTTTTGATGAAATGCTTTGAAATTTAAAACATAGTCATGCATTAGGATATTCTACAATATGATTTAGAAAAAGTTGAAATGTGGATACTGTCTGATTGGCTGAAACTTTAAATGGCTATATCCCCTTTGATTTTTGATGAAATGCTTTGAAATTTAAAACAAAGTCATGCATTAGGATATTCTACAATATGATTTAGAACAAAATTCTTGAAATCACGTGGATGCACGTCTGCTGCAATCTGATTGGCTGAAACTTGAAATGGCTATAATTCCTTTGGTTTTCAACCAAACATGATGATTGCATAATGATATAAGGGCTTATAAGGTATGGTCATCATGCACGTGCACATTTTGTGAAATTAAAAATACACTTGAATGAGTGATTTTTAATACCACTAAATGCTTTAATAAAAAGTATATTTAAATATATAGAAAGTGTAGACAAGATTATATGATCATTATGCACGTGCATTCACATGGGCACGCGTGAAATGTTAAAATTTGAATATAATTGGTATCCTTTTGGGAAAACGTTGTTAAAGACAAAAATGTACAGATTTTTTAATAAGGCAGGGAATATGGCAAAACATATTTGTTGCATAAAGGCAGAAACTATTAGTTTTAGGTTGTCCACCACCAGTTAAAAAAATCCGTGTGCTTCTACCTATAGCAAGGTATAAGCTGACAGCTCCTTATGTGTGGATAGTTTCAGCCCCAAAGCTAAATACCTAGACATTATAGAAATGTAGATGCAGTGAAAAAAATTAATGGCAGAGTTTTCCATTTTTGATTGGCAAGGAAAGGTAGTTTGGGTGTGCTAGTTTGTATGATTTTAAAAATGGTGTATGTAAGATATATCACCCAAAGAAATCATTTGAAGCATGTATTATGAAGCTTATAAAGTCCTATATTTTGTAGTATATGCTCAATTTCAAAGGTATAGCAACATAATGAAAATCCTTTCAACAATTTATTTTCTTTACATTTCAATTAAAAAAGATATATGTACAAAGGCTGATTTGTTCATTTAAAAGGTATAGAAAATAATGTATGCACAAAATAGGAGCATTTTTGTGGTAAATTTGTCTGTCTTGTGCCTTTAAACCAAAGAAATAAATTTTTGTTTTAAGGGTACACAATACACTAATATCCAATTATGGTCACTTTAATGGTAACAAAATATCTTCTGTCCTAAATGATCTTTATTTTATATTACAGTGGTTTTAAGTGTAACTTCAGGCAAGTTGTTTTGACAAATTAATAATGCTGGCAGTAATTAATTTATCTCAGATGCTGTGAATTGTTTTTGTGGCCTAAGAATATATATTTTTTTCCTTGCTTCAGACTGTGACTGATTTCTTGCATATTTCTGATCAAGGGTTTCAATCATCCATACTTTATGCAGGATGTGTACTCATTACAAAAACAGTTTAACCAAGATTTGATTTTTGAGTTCTTAATAATGTCTTATGGTGTTTTTCAAAGCATATACATGTACTCTGTATTTTATATTCATACATCCTTCCCATTAATTGATACAGAAGGAATTAAAAGGTATTCTTACTGTAAAATTCTACTACAGGCAAATGATACTAGAAATATGTTACATTTAATTTAGAAACTGAAGAAGATTGAACCTTCTGTTCATCTACAAACCTATATTACATATATATAAGAATAACATCTAAAAATGCTGCCCTGAGAATTATTTAATGCCAATTTTAAAATGATAATGGAGAGTAAAATCAATAATTGTGCCTGATCATGTCACAAAAGTTGTTGTTTAATGCAGGTAAATTATAAAGCATCATATCGATGGATTATAGTGACGCAGGAAGTCAGATTTTGGCGTACTGTAAAATTGGCTGTTTGAATTTCCTTTTCTCTGAAATAAAAAAAAAAATTCAAAAAAGACTTTCAACACCCACAATAACCATTTTTGCTGCTTGTATGGTCTTGCTGTGTATAAAACATATCGATCTTCATGCTTAAAAAAAAAATGTAAAGTACAAAATATACTTGTAGATGATGTAAAATTCTCATTTTTTTTCTCCTTTGTTAAAAAAAAACAAAAATCTTTTGATATAGAATACAAGTTATCAACAAAAAGTGAAAATCAATCTTGTAGTTTTCACTGGTGTTACCGTAGTAACCTGTGTTTTTGTGTTGTCACAGTTAATTTTGGCACAAGTTCTACGGGTGGTGGAAAACATGGTATCGAGGGCAGTTCTCTCGGACTGTCGCCAAGGTAACGGCAAGTAGTGTCACAAAGCTAACAGCCGTGCAGACACAAGGATGAGATATTATACAGATTCATTTCACTCCATGTCATATTAATGAAGCACAAACAGTCTCATCAAGCTAAAACTGCATTAGACTTTCTGGCAAACCAAAACCATGCACTATCATATATATTTGGATTACAGAAATATTCCATTTATTTTATTAGGCCTAGTGTTATTATCATATAATTTTTGAAATATTTTTTTATGCCTAAATTACATCTGATTTGAAAAACTTGTCATAATCAGAATCAATGAGTCAATTAGGTATATCAATATTTTGTTGAAATAATCAAGCACATGAAGTGGTCAAACATGAATAAATCCCTGTTTAAAAAAGGGGGAAAACCCTTACATTTCAATGTATGCTCTTATTTGTTCATTATCACTGAAGTCAGTAAAAATACATGAATATTCTTACATTTCAACTGCCTTTTACATGCAGAGAGTTTGCTGAAAAACATAATAGTTATATTCATTTGTTTGATACATGTACATGTATTGACATTATTTTATTAACTGTCTTTTTTTTCCATATGCATACCTTTGTAATAGGGCTGGGTATTGGCCTGAGATTTCGTATTGCGATATATTGCGATATTTTTAACTGTATTGCGATATGTATTGCAATATTTTCAATGTAATAAAAATGGCATTTTCTTACTATATTTACTTTAATTTACATGCAGAATGTACATAACTATGATAAGTAACCAACACAGAAAAAAAATCTTGTTGAATTCATTTAAGTTATGCTCTGAAATGTTCCCACAAACAACTTTTGACTTACTGTTTGGTTTAATTACAAACTTTTATAAATCCATTTTTATATTTAATGACAAAATTCCTTACTCTAAGCATATTGCCAATATACCGATATTACAAAATCGTATTGCGATACGATATTTTTTGTCATTGTATTGCAATATATTGAAATATCGATATTATTGCCCAGCCCTACTTTGTAATATGAACTAGTAATTAGTTGCTCCTCAATTTACACATATCTCATCCTTGCACTTGCTTAATTGATCTGTTTTGATTTGAGTTCAATTTTTTTTTCGAAAAGTTTTTCAAGTTCAGTTGTCAATTTTTCATGACCAGTATTCTGTTATAAACTCTAGGGTTCTTGCAATAAGTAGGGTAGGTAAAACTAATGCCTGTTGCTCTGACATATGATGGTGGGCTTAAGTAACTTTGCTTTTAATTTGCAGAAATATTTTACATGTATACTCTAAACTTATGCAATTCATAAATTAAGCCAGTGTCAGTTGGTTGTCTTCATGTAGTCATGTCAAATAAGGCATATTCTAAAAAAAAAATTAAAGTAGTTTTTCCTCAACATTAAAAGTTCTTTCCACAATAAGAACAGAGATGGGAGATCAGATTGTTATATGTTTGTCTTTTGTTCAGCAGGATTTTTGTCAGTTTCATTAACAATGGTCTGAAATATTTTTGAATTTAATTACCATAGAAATAAATGCCAATTATTTATCCTTTGCAAAATAATTCATTAAATGTTCACCTTATTAACATTAACTATGTGTGTTTATCACATGTTTGTGTACCTCTTTATCCCAAGAAATCAATACATCATCCATAGAATAAATTTCATGGCACAAATAAGCCAACAGAAAGCGAAAAGGGTATATAAAAGGTATAATTAAATGAGGTCAAAACATTTGATAAAAAGAAAATCCCATGGTTTTTGATTGGATATGATTGTTATCCAACTTGTTTGTTTTCTATCTTGTCAGCTTGGCAAAGGCTCAAGGATAGAAAGTGCAGAATTTTTGGGCATAAAAATCTTATCCAATCTCAAAATATGGGAAATCATATGTATACGTAGATAATTTTAAGATTTGTTATGCCTCAGTTTTTATACTACATTATGAGTGAATTTGTAGCATATATATTTTGCTTAGTATTACCATTTGCTTGCAAGTTAATTTATTTTGCAGAGAAATTAAAAAAAACACTAAAAATGGCAATAAGCTAAAGAAAAAAAGCATGCTCATGAAATATTTGACATTATAAACACTAAAAATGGCAATAACTTATAAGCTAAAGAAAAAAAGCATGCTCATGAAATATTTGACATTATCTTTTTCAGTGTTTGTACATTAATCGGGAAAAAGTGCACAATATATCAAAATATGAGCAATATATTTGAAATCATGTTTTTTTCTTATAAAAAAAAATTTTTTCAAGTTAAATCGTACATTTTTTGATAGCTATATTTAATTTGGTGATTGAATGTTTCAGACTCAACAACCCCAGTTTTTACGACTACCCAGACACTCGTCTCCCCCTCAGACAGTTATCGACTCCAATCAGAAAACAGCTTAACTCCGCGCCAGTAAGTATATAAGCATCAATACTAACTTATATCACTTCATTGGTAACTTCTAAGAGAAATTATCATATTATTGATCATATTGTATTAACCATAATCATATTAAATGGAATTCATTCATGTATAATTTGAGTATGTCAACAGCATTCAGCATTTGCTGTCTTTGTCCCGTGAGCGTCATTATATCACAGCTTGTAATTAAGAATCAGACAAAAAAGTTTTCAAAGTGGCCCCACTGGAAATTCTAGAGGTGGGATCGTGGGCCTAGGAGGAGTAAGCATCTCCTGGTACCTGTCACACAATAATTGTGAATCTCTTATTTGCTAGCTATACTTTCTGTAATACTTTCATGTCTTTGATATTATTTCAGGATTCCTCTACTGTGATGTACCTGGATATCCAAAGAAAGACCACCTCATCCAAGTCTCAGCGAGATCATAGGTTCTCCCCGAGTAAACTCACTGTCTTCTGGATTGATGATTGAGACCAGAGAGCAATTGCTGAACTGAAACAAAAAGAAAAGAGCTAATTGACAATTGACACAAGTTTCAGAGAGAAAAAATACTAGAAAACTGTGAATACTCAATGTGCAACTCGAAACAAGTGATGATCAACATGTATATTGTACATTTAATTCTTTCTGACTGGTTTCAAACTGTTGACTGTATATTGTACATGTTGTATACTACTTACATATTTTAAATGAAAATTCTGGATGGTTTTTTTAAAGTTCAATTTTATAAACTTCATTTTTAAACTCCTTTACTCCCCAAATGAAAAAAAATCTATATACAGTGGACCCTCATTTATCCGGACGCTTTGGTTCCCAGTCAATTTGTCCGGATATGTGAAGCGTCCGGATACCTGAATCAGCAGTTAAACAAGACAAAATAACATTTAAAAATTCTGTTCCGAAGAAATATCGTCCGGATACTGAAGCATCCGGATATCTGGCGTCCGGATATCTGAAGGTCCACTGTATGTCATTTTGACAGCAAAAACATAAGGTTTTGTGGATATTTTTAGGCTATCTAGGTCACTCAGGTAATCTATTTTTGATATTGTAAGGTTATCATGCAGAGACCCTGATATGATCTATACTTACCCTTTTAATTTTTATCAAATAGCAAAATTTCTTTGTTCAGTTTTTATCTGAATTTTCTGATATTTTATGAAAAGCATTGAATTGACATGACAAAATAAATGTTAACATTGAACTTATTCTTTTGTACTATTGAAGAAAATAACCTTAGACCTGATAGTCTTTGACAAATTCATATGTTGAACTTTGTAACTTTTTGATGAAAAATTTTCACTTTAATTGTTATCTGTGGTATAAGAGGTTGAATTTCATTTATTCATAAGGAGATGATGTCAACCTCTTTAAAATATGCATTCATTTCTGAAACAAATCATTTGGCATTTTAAGTACTGGCATTTTAACCGTTCATTATTCTATTTAACAACCGAACCTAAATACATGTAGTAAATTAAAGTCGTCGCGAATAAAAAAAATTTTACATGTAGTTACAAAAAAATGAAAAGCATCGAAATGTGTACAATGTATTTCGTCTATAAAGAAAATTCTACATTTATTAATGATAGTAGGTTACAAGTAGCAAATGTGAATTCCATTTTGTTTTGTTAGATTAGCTGATAAAAAAGCTGAAATTTTAACAGTATATACATGATAATTTTAGTTGCATATCAATTTTTTTTGTCTGCTAGTTTTTGATACATTTCTGTTGCTGCCATATATATTAATGTATTCATATCTAGTCCCAAGAAAGTCTTAAGTTGCCAGTTGTTAGTACATGTAATACTGATAAAGATTTCTGTGTGTCCATTTTCATACATGTATATACAAATGCCATGAACAGGGTTTTTTTTTACTTTTAAATTATGCAAACTTACCGTGACTGTGTAGATCACAAAATGGCACTAATTTAATCTTAAATCCGAATGGCATTAAGTTAATGTATAATCCATATGGTGGTAAATTAATGTAAAGTCCATATATTGACTGTGCGACATGTACAGAAAACTTAATTTTGAATTTTTTTTAATGTCATTGAGCTCAAAAGTTTAACTGGTACCATAAATGTTTGGTTTTTTTTATTAAAACTGCTTTAAGATACAAATATAAATGTTTATCTTCATGTAGCAACTTTTCTGAATACAATTACTACTTTAATATTTTATATTTTTATTTATTTATTGTACAATTCATATACTTTAAAAGATCTGTGATACAGAAAATCATATCCATAAAACATTTTTTAAAATTGTTTTTAATCTTCCATGTTGTACTATTAATTGTTCTTGTCCGATTTTCATTTTATAGATTTGTAGTACTTTTGTATTTCTGTTTAAAGGTTCATAATGTTAATCAAACAATATATGTTGAACTTTTTCTTTTTTCATTTACAAGTGTAACTTAGAGATGTAATCAGATTTCCAGGAGTTATTTCTATGGCTTCGTCTGATTTTCATCGTTCTAGCAGGCCTAATATTAACAGTGCTCTATATTAGTGCAGGTGTACTGAACAAATTCTAGAAGGAAATGTCAATATTATTATGTGTTATTTGGCATTTATGCAAATTTGCTGTGAACTCTTCTTCCTAATCCAAATGTGATAAAGTATATTCAAATGTTTTGATCTGATATTTCAGACAATAAATACAAAATTCTACACTCAGACTGTATTGTATTTTAATGAAAGACAAAGTTTTCAAAAAACCTTATGTTTACCATCCTTTATAAATGCTCAGAACAATATAAGGTTACCTTACCCAAAGGTTCATGAGCTCTGAAAACAATGGAGGTGAGCTCAGGTGCCATAGAGAAGCAAGCATACCCTTTGAAAGTCCTTCATCTTAATGGAAAATACAAAGAAATCTAATATGAACAATTCAGCATGATAGCAAAATGTTTTTGTGAAACACTGATGTTCCTGTTTGGCAGCTTATGGAGATACCTAAGTGAAAGTCAAGATAATGAGATAACAAATTTTGGTAGCCAGAGAAAGGACTTTTCTTAATATATATTAATTAATATATATACTACTGTAAGCCAAAGCACCAGCCATTCAAAATACAGCATTAAGCATTCAAAAACATGTCAAAAATAATTTTTTTTAAAATGGGACACACTCAAAGATCAAGGCCAAATGGCCAAAATTAATTTTACGCAGGTGAAGGTCTTGTCACAAGATATACACATCTGAAATCTGAAAAGCCCTAGCACAAACTATTTAAAAAAAAATTCTAAGCAATAGGCTACCCAGGGAACAGTGGAAAGGTCTTCTCAAAAGAAATATACATGTACATGTAAAATTAAACAAGAGGCCCACAGGCCTTGCAGGTCACCTGAGTATCATGTAACTACTTTCCAACAATTGAATTTGATTTGTGTTTTAAACCAGAGGCCATTAAATTCACAATTTTGAAAGAGGCACCATTGCTTATCATAACTATACACTTAGCATGCTTACTTCGGTTACTTAATACCCAGAGGTAGATCAGAGTAACAAAGAGAAAATGCATTTCCACGTATTTATCAGTTGTGCATCCAATCTCATAGGAGACACTGGCCCTGGGGCCACATCTTCAAAATTTTGGAAATTCTGTAGTGTCGTCAGAAGAAACTCCGATACATGTCTTTTTAACGCCTCATATATTTCAAGCAGTAAATGCTAGCTTTATGCTACAAGTCTCCAATATATATTGATAAATACCGAAACAAAATTAAACAAAATCGACGGAAATATCATTTAATAACAAGTAAATTAAAATGTTAACACGTCTTAAATATACCAGTATAAAGAAATTTTATTCCAGGATACTTTTTAAAAATTCCAATTCTACCCATTTGAAAATGATTTGACCATCGAAAGCTCGCAACATTCTACACGATGTCGCATTGATCTGCTCAAAGCATGAAAGTGAATAGATTTGAGTCACGTGTTCAATGCTTTGTTATTCATCAGGTAAAAGGCGGGCTGAAATTTGTAAACAATGTACCTTTACTATATAGAGACAAGTACCCGTGATTTTGCACCTTTTTGGAAAATAACATGTGAGCACACGACTGTTTCAATTTCTTTCATGAATTAAAATGACAAGTTTAACTCTTTACATTGACCCTATTTACTACAACTTGAAACATCTATGCGCTCATATAAAAAAAAAAGGGGGCTTTCAAAATGGGGGTGTGGCCTAAAGTCTATGGGAAATCGATGTAAACAACGTACCCCTGCTATGTTAATCAGATAAATAGTACCCAGTTACAGTGCAAGTAAGTGAAAATCGAAAATGAAATTAATAAACTACAATGTTTGATGAAAAGATTGAGACAAAAATATGTAGAAAATCTAATGTGAACGTTTAAACGATTCATTCTTTGTTTAAATCATGACCCCCGGGGGTAGGGCCGGGCCACAATGGCCGACCAAAGTTTTACATTGACATATATAGGAAAATTCTTTTAAAATCCTCTTCTCAAGAATAGCAAAGCCATGATTGGTCATGGGACTACTTTTGGATTTAAACTTTTCGTTAATAAACCAATTTCTACTTTTTCCTATCCACAGTGCTGAGGTGAGCGATGTGGCCCATGGGACTCTTGTGATCAAAGTTTATAATTGGTCGTACTATAAGCATGGGCAATATATTTTACTTGGCTAACGACAGAGGGATATTTTAAAATATAAGTCCCCGAAAAGCAAAAACTATACATATGATCGCAGAAAATTATTTGTTGCGGAAAAGCAGAATTTTTAATGGAAAATCAATGCCATTTTGAGATAAGTAGAACTGTGACGGTAGTGTTTTAAAACGAAGTATCAAAGAAAAGATTTAATTCTATCACTTATATTTGTCGCAAAAAATGCATTTTGCTCGCCTTGATCGCCCATCTTACATAGCCTTTTTTTTCCAGACATTCTCTATATTCCGTCTGAACCCATTTTAAATTCAACTCATTTCGACGCGTATACGAAACAGAGCGGAATATAAGTTAACGTATTCATCCCTGGGTATTTTAATTTAAAAATTATAATTTTTCTACTAACACTATAGGCACGTAGCATCAGAGGGTACGTGGAAGGGGACAGAGGGATCTGGCCCCTCCGTATTATTTCCAAATATAACTTTTTATCATTGAAAATGCTCTTTGAAAGCTAGGCTGTTCCTCCTCTTTTTCTTTCTTGCAATACTAGTAGTAAAAATTTGGTACTGAAAGGTAAAGTCGATTTTTTCTCTCTGACTGCCCCCTTTCAAAAACGATACTACGTCCTTGCACTAATTACTTGCTCAATGAAATACATGTCTCAAATTAGCAATCTTTGAAATGCATCCATCGCTCTTTCGATCATTCTTGCTCATTTTAAACCCCCGCATGAAAAGTTGGAGGGTATACTGTAGTCGGTATGTCCATTCGTCCGTCTGTCTGTTACGAATTGGGGTACACTTCTCTTATCCTCAACTCCTCTT